GGAGCAGCTTGATGTAAAAACAGCATTCCTTCATGGTAATCTAGAAGAACAAATTTACATGTCTCAACCGGAGGGGTTCTACAGTTCTAAAGGGGACCAGGTATGCTTATTAAAGAAATCTCTGTATGGCTTGAAGCAATCTCCGAGGCAATGGTACAAGAGATTTGACTCATTCATGGTGTCTAATGGTTATACTCGTAATCAGTTTGATAACTGTGTTTACTCGAAGAAAGTTTCTACTGATTCCTTTGTGTATCTGCTGTTGTATGTGGATGATATGTTAATTGCAGCTAAGAACATGACTGTAATTAATGACTTGAAGGCTCTACTAAAGGGTGAGTTTGAGATGAATGATTTGGGTGCGGCAAAGAAAATACTTGGTATGGAGATCTGGCGTGATAGAGAAGCAAGACGGTTGTGGGTTTCTCAAGAAAAGTATATTGAGAAAGTTTTGCAGGCATTCTCTGTTGATCAGTCCAAACCGGTAAGTACCCCTTTGGCGGCACACTTTAAACTTGATCGAAGCACTATACCGGCTACAGATGAAGAGGTTAGTTACATGAAGACGGTTCCATATTCAAGTGCAGTTGGAAGTCTTATGTATGCGATGGTATGTACGAGACCGGATCTCGCTTATGCGGTTAGTGTGGTGAGCAGGTTTATGGCTAATCCGGGTAAAGCTCACTGGGGAGCTGTAAAGTGGATCTTGCGATATTTGAAAGGAGCGTCTGATATTTGTCTGGTATATGATGATAAAGGCCATGGTGATGGTCTTGTTGGCTATGCAGACTCTGATTACGGCGGTGACTTGGTGAAACGAAGATCACTAACTTGTTTTATCTTCACTCTGTTTGGATGTGCAGTCAGTTGGAAGTCTACTTTACAACCTACGGTTGCATTGTCGACGACTGAGGCGGAATACATGTCAATGACTGAAGGTATTAAGGAGGGTATCTGGTTACATGGTCTGGTGCAGAGTTTGGGTCTGAAGGTGGAGAAACCGGTGTTATTCTGTGATAGTCAAAGTGCTTTGAGTTTGGCTAAAAATCCAGTGTATCATGAGAGAACCAAACATATTGATGTAAGGTTGAATTTTATCCGTGATGTTCTGGAGGAAGACAAGTTTTCTATTCAGAAAATAGCTACAGAACACAATCCAGCTGATATGTTGACAAAGGCGCTACCGACGGAGAAGTTTGAGCATTGCTTGAACTTGGTGAATATTCGTAGGAGGTAAAGCCTTCTCGGGCATCTGGCAGGAAGGAGACGACTGAGAGATACTGACGAACCTTTGGCGGTTGGAGAAACTCCAAGTCAAGGTGGAGATTGTTGAAACGTGACTTGGATTTAGCGGTCTACCCGACCCTAAACCAAAGCGAAAGGGCTGTTTCAATTGGCAGGGTTCCTTTTGGGCTTATCCTAATTAATAACAAATGGACTTAGGGTTTAGGGTGTTTTGGGGTGCTTATAAATAGACAACTATGGTTCTTAGTCGGATGACACATTGTAAATCTCTGAATCAGTATAATAAAATCTCTCCGGTTCCTGCCCGTGGACGTAGGTTGACACACCGTCACCGAACCACGTAAAACCTCTGTGTTCTTTATTTGCTTTGTTTCTCGTTTTCTCATAACACTAATTAATTATGTATGTGACATAGTTTGATATACCGAATTAGGTCTTTTTATTTAATAATTTGCCTCTTGTAGTCATCAATTACGTATTACTTGTGTGTGTGTTTTGTTTAATTTAATCACATTTATTTTTTATTTTTATATAATTTAATATTTTATTTAGCTCCACTTTACTCATTAAATAAAAAATTCAATTTATTTTATTTAAGTTGAAAACCTTCCCACTGCATGTTTATTTTTGCCTTTGCATGTTTCATTTAAGGGTGTGTTTGTTCGAGGGTTTGGATTTTGGATTGGGATTTGAAAAAAATTTGAATTTGAATAGTTGTATGATGTGATATAAATAAGAATTGATGTGATGTTTTGAATGTAAAATTAATTTTTAGTATAATATAAAAAATAAAAATAAATGTTTAATTTGATGTTTTTGGAGGGAAAATTTTGTAGGAATATTAGAAATACCACAAAATTTCTCAAACATTGTATTTTCCCTTTTATTGTAATATTCAGCCTTAGCATTAATCATTTAGTCTTATTGTTGATTATTTTATTTATCGGTATTCGAAATTTGTTTGAATGTTGTTTGAAATTAATTTGAAATAGATGTTTATTTAAATTTTTGTTTAAATTATATTTTTTTCTGTTGATATTTTGAAAAAGAAAAATAAATTTTTATAAAAAAAATTCGAAATAAAAAATATTAATTTTAATTCAAAATGCTAAAAGAACAAACTAGTTTGACTTCTACATGCATTTTTTTTTTCATTTATTCAATCTCACACGAGGCAAATTGTCCCGGAGAAAATTAATTTTTGAAGGATGACAATATTATTGTTTTTATAAAAAAATAAAATAAATTTATGTATTCTATTATAATTGATATTTAAAAATAATTAATTTAATTTCTTAATGAACAGCATCAAACATTCGAAAAGAAGAGACCAATGGGTATTTAATTAAATAGGTGAAAGAAGAATAAATTATTTGTCTCACATTTTATTTGATTAATTTATTTTATTTGAAAAATAAATAAATAAATAAATAATCAAATAAATAGTTTGTTGCAATTGAATGCAACGTGCAATAGAACGTGGACAATTTTTTTTTTCTACACGTGATTAAATACAAAATAAGTTGAAAAATATATAATATATATATTATTTTTCTCCCCTTTTTTCGATGAAAGACGTAATATCAATTCCAAAAATTCATTTTGAAAATTTCTTTTCCATTCTAATTTGGTTTGCAGAATATGATATTCCGTTGATAATTCGTTCTATCCATAGAGGCAATCAGTGGAGGGCCGAATTTGCTTCAAGGAAATCGCATGCTAAGCGATGCTCGAATTTGATTTTGCATCTATGTTATTTTTTATTTTCGAATTTCGCCGCATCTCAAATTTCACCAAACTATTTTTCAACATAGACAATGTCTATTAGGCCAATGATTGTTGACTTTTGGGGTATGGAAGAGAGAGAGAGAGTGAAAATCAGTGTTTGGGCCTCTAAAAATATATCCAGCACGCTAATGAATTGGGTTGTATTCGGACTTATGAAAGTCGGGCTATGCCCAGTTCGATCCAATTTATTAATATTAATAATATTTATGTTAAAATTGTTCTTATCTACATTTGGTTGTGATTTTGATCCTCACTTCTATCATTCCATTAAAATTTTTATTAAATTAAAAAATATAAATTTAAAAAAGAAAAAGAAAAATTAAAGTGAATCAGCTCGACATAGTCAGATTTTAAATCGGATTGTGCTCGGGCCTAGCATTTCAAATCCGGTTATAACCGGACTCTGTTTATCCAACATGGTTAAGAATCGGATTGAATCGACCCGAATTGCCACCCGTACTTGTGTGCCACGTGAGAAATACAACACCAAATTTGGATCTCAATAATAATAAATCAATTATTTGGGAAATGATTTGATTGGAGGTATGCTTTGGCTTAGGATTAAATTTGGGTTAGCCTATTTTTAATGTCATATATTAAATTGTGGGTTGAACCCAATAAAAAAATTATCAATTTAATATAAAATATTATTTTTATATTACTTATCCAATTTTTTTATATCTCATATAATATATTATATATATATATATATATCAAATCAAAACACTAACCCAACAAACCCTTAATTAATTCAATTTTTTACATTTTATCTGATTTTAAATTCATATGACTAGTTAAATGTCAAATTAATCCAATAAAGGAAGGTTGTTGCAATTGATTGCAACATGTAAAAATCATTTTTCTTCATTTATGTACAACAAATTCTGCATAAAACGATCCAATCGATACTCTAGTTAACACCAAAGTCAATGATATTATTTTAAAAAATACATTTAATCATATGTCTACAATTTGTTATTCTCAGAGTCTCAACAAACAAATGGTTCGTGTAATATGATTTGTCTGTCGAACTTAGTTTGCAAACTATTAAATTCGATCGAAAATTTACCCATTGCGCATTTTCGATAGTAGCTACGGGTTTTCACGTTATAAAAAATAAAAAAAAATAAAAAATTAGTACAATAATCCCGTAAAAAATGACCAAATGGCGTGGGGAGTGAATTTGTAATGGTAAGGTCAAATTGAGATCTCCGGTTTCCCACATTATAAAAAAAAATAAAAATACAATATATTATTAATTTTAATAAAATAAATCTATTTATATCTTACAATACAAATAAGTATAAAAGTAACTTAATCAACATCTTATATGCCGACGTTGATGGTGTGTTATTTTATAGTTCGATTTCATTTTCTTATTTATTATTATATTATATCATCATGAAGACAATTTTTATTGTAAAAATATGCTTTATTTTATTAAATTCTAAATTAAAACTATTTTGTAAAGGAAAAAACCCCCAAATATACTGTGTTTGTTTTATATTGTAATTAAAATAAAAATAAAAATTGTCTTTTCATAATAAATGAGTATGGCTACATAAATATATATTATTATTTATTTAATTATTTTTGTTTCAATTTCCTGCTGTTTCAAAAAAATATATATATATATATTCCTCCCACTTTTTTACACAAGATGCAATATTTATTTTTGACACGAATTTTTAAGTGAATAGTATTAAGAAGATAATATAAAAATTAGGTGATGCGATGAAAAAATAAATAAATATTTTATTTTTTTATTTGAATAATGCGAACGGATAAATAGTAAAGTCTATTTTGAAAATATTGTCAAAAAGAAAATATTGCAAATATTGCAATATATTATTATTTATTTATTTAATTATTTTTGTTTTGATTTCCTGCAGTTTCAAAATATATATATTATTATTTATTTAATTATTTTTGTTTCAATTTCCTGCAGTTCCCATGAAAGAGGAAGGAAGAGGGAAAGTTTGAGGCGCATCCCACGTAAATAACCTGTAGAATAATTGTCGTCTTCCTTCACGAGCAAATCAGTTTCGTCGACAATCTTTTGTTTCTGATTTCGATGTTGTTTCCGTGTTGATGAAACTTCTCTCTTCTCAATTGCTTTGCCGAAGAAGATTCCTGCGGGAGAGGTGTTGTCGTTCACAAATCCGCGGCGATGGGCGGCGGCGATGGAGCCTCTTCTAAAACCTCCGACAAGCCCAAATGTAAGTTTCTGTTTAATTCATCGCGTCAATCTCATGAAATTGCAAGGATTTCTACACGTTTCCGCCTCGAATTTTATGTTCGCGGTGGTATTTTTGCGAAACTGTGGAAATTTCGATGGCGATTATGAAGAATCTGACAATCGCTCCATTTTTCATTCATAGATTGTTTTCGTTTTCATTTCCACCCAATTCTGTGTGGTCGATTTCGATTTTCGAACAATTACGTGTATTTGTTGAATAGTTGATTAATGGGTTCGTGATTTTGCCAGATTCCAGGTTTACTCAGCAAGAACTTCCCGCTTGCAAGCCTGTATTGACTCCTGGTTTGGTATGTGGTCGTTGATTCTGAATTTGCATTTCCAATTGCTCTTCTCCTCCATTGATTAAACTTTTCCTGTTGTCATCTGTTTCAGGTCATGGCAACTTTCCTTGTATTCGGCATAACCTTCATTCCTATTGGTTTAGTGCACTTATCTGCCTCTGACAATGTAATATGAATGATAATCTTTATAACTTCCACTTTATATATGAATTTTCAATTCTATACAAGCATTATTTGTATCTCTGTCTATATCCATTTGAAGTAGATGATTCTGATTTCCTTGTTTTACATAAGGGTGTGAAGTGGTTGAATTGCAATTGTTTCATTATCTGTAGGTTGTTCAACTTGTAGATCGATATGATCAAGAGTGTGTTCCTGCAAATTATTCATTTCCAGGATCAGCTGATAATAGGATGCTTGGATTCATCCAGGATGCCAAAGTAGACAAAACCTGTTTCAGGAAATTGACTGTCAGTATATTATCCTGATTTTGATGTTTGTGTTCATTTATTCATAACAATTTTCTGTTTGAAACTATTACTAATTTGATTCTAAGTGTTTAACTATTTGATTATCCTCCAGGTTCCAAAGAAGATGGCACCTCCTATTTTTGTGTATTATCAGCTCGATAATTTCTACCAAAACCATCGCCGGTTGGTACATTCCTTTTTTTTTTTTTCAGCCTCACACTTACTTTGATCGGCATTTACTAAGCTTATTTGGTCGTTAAAACCTATTGCATGCTTCTGTGTTGATCAAAAACGAATAGCAAGAGTAATATATACATACTTATGTATTACAACATTATATATGGCATTGGATGATAAGATGATACATAAAGAAAATATAGTTTCTTACTGTGGTATCACGAGCATTGACGTGTGTTTATCTATATCATACCGAAGTCTAAGGCTCTGTTTAAATACAGAGTTTTGGAGTTTTGAAAAAATTTGAGAATAGTAAAAAGTTATACTTGATGTGATGTGATGTTTTCGACAAAGTTACTGCCATAAGTTTAAAAAATGTCTCTGTACTTCATCTTATCTGGTATTTACATAACAAAGAGCATTGCATTACTCAATTGTATTGCAAAATTACCGCATGCAATTGAGATATGTATAATAATATCAATCTCTTTCTTGAACTTGAAAATTGAATTCGGGTGCAGATATGTCAAAAGTAGGAGTGACGAGCAGTACAGAGATCCGGATGACGAAACTGATACTGGTAGCTGCTCCCCAGAGGGCGTAGATGACAGTCTTCACCCCATAGTTCCTTGTGGTCTTATTGCTTGGAGCTTGTTCAACGATACATACAGTTTCAAGCGAAACAACGTTGAAGTGCCTGTAAACAAAAAGGGGATTTCATGGCAAAGTGACAGAGACCGAAAGTTTGGGTCTAATGTCTTCCCCAAAAACTTCCAAAACCGGAATCCGATTGGAGGTGGAAAACTTGATGAGAAACTTCCGGTAAGTGCCTCATTCTTGTCTTCCCATTTTAAGCATGATCGATTATGTTAGAAACAAACTCCATTTACATCACCATAGGGGAATGAATCTTTGCCGAGTATTATTTTCTCAGAGTATATAAGCTTAATGACATTAGGGTAAATTTTGACATGAGCTCGATCTAACTTGTTAAGAGTTTGACTCGGCTAGTTTATAGAAATAAATCAACCTACCCTGAACTCGCTTGATTGAACTCATTAGTAGGGCAACTTTGTTATTTTCATATTAATATAAAGGCACGATTGTTACTGTACTGACTATAATTGTGTTGACAGTACATATAATATATACTAACAACATATGAGGTATAAACTGATAGCGTATCTATGTTAATATAATATAAATGCAACATATAACAATAGTTTGCATATCAATACTATAATTGATCTCAGCACATAAAGTATATTAGTGTTCAGATGTGTATGTTATGTGATTATTGGGGCATTAAGCACATTAACCATTCCCCTAATATTGATGTATATATAATTTCTGTTTCTGTTCATTTTGAAATGTATTTACGATGCTTTCTCTCACTTAATATTTTACGTTAGAGTTTTTTTTTCTTGTGCATCAATCCAAACTGAGCTCGAGTCATTATTTCAGTTTGAGCTTCATTCCTCGGCTCGTATAACAACTCTAGCTGTACCAGTTTTATATTCCTTAGCATTGCAAGTTTGTTTGTTTGTGGTTCGAAATTAGTTTGAAATGAAGTGCTGATTTAAGTTTCTGTTTAAATAGTATTTTGATGTGACATTTTGTGAAAAAAATAATTAGTTTCTGTTTAAATAGTATTTTGATGTGACATTTTGTGAAAAAAATAATTTATTTTTATTAAAAACTTTGCCGAGTAAATAATATTGATCAGTTTAAAATCACAATCATTTTTGGGCTGCCTAATTTCACCATTCCACATTCTACTTATTCCAAAAATTCATACGAGTTTATTTTGCCATTGCACGCAGTTGAACCAGCAAGAGGACTTGATGGTGTGGATGAGGCCTGCAGCCATGCCTACCTTCCGGAAACTCTATGGAAGAATCGAGACTAATCTCGAGGCGAGCGATGTGTTGGATGTGGTAATACAGAACAATTACAACACCTACGCGTTCAATGGGCAGAAGAAGCTTGTGATCTCCACGACAACTTGGATCGGCGGCAAGAACGACTTTCTCGGCAAGATCTACATTACTGTTGGTGGTTTTTGTTTGTTCATTGCTGTTATTTTCATCATTCTCTACCTCATCAAGCCAAGGTATAATTCGATTTAATTAATGTTTGGGATCGATCTTTTTGAATTGTGTTCTTGTAATGTAAAAAGCTTATTATGTTTGATGTTCTGTTCTTGCAGGCGTTTGGGAGACACTTCGTACCTGTCCTGGAATAGAAATTCTGAACCTGTGTCGTCTTAATAATGGGCCTTACTGTAAGTTTTAATATTTTAATATTTGTTTTTTTTACCCCAAATTTGGTTCGTATTTAAATTAATTTATATGATTGTGTCATTTTGGTCATATTTGATTTTATTTTATGTATAGGACAAAATATTTGAGTTTTGAAGATTATCTGTAAATGTGACTGTTATATCATGGAATTATTGACCGATGGTGAACACCAGGTTAGTTGTTAATAAAAAGATGATTTGGTTATATATCATACTTCATCCATTTGTCTCACCTATATATCTACAATTTATTAAATATATATATATATATATATATGATTGGTGAGTGACTTTATATAAGATGAAAAATTGGGTTTAGTTGTTGTATATGTGATGAAGTTTTTGATAATAGAAGTAAGAATAGAGATAAATTTAATTGGTAGGAACCATCTAAATGAAAATGGACTATTTTTCAATAGATTATGTGACGTGGAATACATCATTTACTACCAAGAATTACATGTTAATATTACAAAATTATTTGAAAAAAATAGATTCAATGAAGTTGTGCATATCAATAATGACAACTTACACACACTAGTCTTTTAATGTCTCTTTTATATTTTATTTTATATTTCACACTATTAAAATAAAAAAATTTATCTATATTGTAAATGTTTTAAATAATTATAAATAAATACTAATAACAAAATAAAATAGATGTTAAATATTTATATTATTGTTAAAATTATGGGGTGTATTTATTTTAGATTTTATTGGATTTTTAAAGAATTTATGAATTTATAAAATCGACGTAGTCTACTCAAAATTTGATGGATTTTCTTTATTGATTTAAATGAATTTTTATAGATTTGATTGAATTATATATGAATTTATTAGGATTGTAGAATAATTTTTTATTAATTTATATAATTTGTTAAATTTATATAAAACACGATAAAAAAAAATATATATTTAAATAATTAAATAAAAATACAAAAAAAGTAATAGTTAAAAAAATACATTAAATTATTTATTATTTTCATTTTCATTCCCGTCATCTTCATTTCCATCATCTTTTATTTTAGCGTAAAAAAAATAAAAAAGAGAGATGAAGAGCAATGTGCAATTTCAAATTAATTAATTAGTTTTTTTTATTTAAAACAAAAACAAAAATATAAAAAGAAAAAAAAATTAGACACGTGTCGTTATATAATTGAGTTGACTTATAAACTAACTACCCAATAGACCGAGGATTTCAAGCCTGTTGAAATGCCTATAAAAATGCACTTTGTGCTTCATTTCGGTTACACCGTAAGCATTCTTTCTTCCTTTCATTTTCTCTTGTTTCACATAAGCATTCTTTCCTCATTTTTTTTCCTCTTATTTTCTCTCGTTTTCCTATAAGCATTATTTCCTCATTTCCTTTCATCTCGTTTTTCCATAAGCATTCTTTCATCTTTTCCTTTCCTATAGTTTTTCTATAAGCATTATTTCCTCTTTTCCTTTCCTCTCGTTTTCCCATAAGCATTATTTCCTCCTTTATTTTCCTCTCGTTTTCCTATAAGCATTCTTTTCTCATTTCCTTTCCTCTCGTTTTCTCTCGTTTTCCATAAGCATTCTTTCATCATTTTCTTTTCTCTCATTTTCCCACAAGCATTCTTTTCTCATTTCCTTTCCTCTCGTTTTCCCATAAGCATTCTTTTCTCCTTTCATTTCCTCTCGTTTTCTCTCGTTTTCCCATAAGCATTATTTCCTAATTTCTTTTCCTCTCGTTTTCCATAAGCATTCTTTTCTCTTTTCATTTCCTCTCGTTTTCTCTCGTTTTCCCATAAGTATTCTTTCCTCCTTTCTTTTCCTCTCGTTTTCCCATAAACATTCTTTCCTTATTTTCTTTCCTCTCGTTTTCCCATAAGCATTCTTTTCTCCTTTCCTTTCCTCTCGTTTTCTCATAAGCATTATTTTCTCATTTCTTTTTCTCTCGTTTTCCCATAAGCATTTTTTCCTCCTTTCATTTCCTCTCGTTTTCCCATAAGCATTATTTCCTCATTTCTTTTCCTCTTCTTTTCTCCTTTCCTTTCCTCTTGTTTTCCCATAAGCATTCTTTCCTCATTTCCTTTCCTCTCGTTTTCCCATAAGCATTTTTTCCTCCTTTCTTTTCCTCTCGTTTTCCCATAAGCATTCTTTTCTCCTTTCCTTTCCTCTCGTTTTCTCTCGTTTTCTCATAAGCATTCTTTCCTCCTTTCGTTTCCTCTCGTTTTCCCATAAGCATTCTTTCCTCCTTTCATTTCCTCTCGTTTTCCCATAAACATTATTTTCCTCCTTTCCTCTTCTCTTAAGTTCTTCCCGACAATATTTCGGAAAGTTTTTGATTGACTTTATGGTTATTCTCCTTCCTCTTTCAGCTTCCCAACGCAATCTTGTTCTTCCTTATTTTAGTTCATCTTCGAAATATTGGATCCTACCTAATTAATTTTAAGACAAATATCGTTTTATCTTTGAGATTGTTAAGAATCGGAGAGAGAAGTTTTATCCTCGACTCAACATAATTATTTTTCTTGCAATATAATTTATATAAGTATTCAACTTATATATGAAATGCCAAGGAATTCAGCAATATTCAAGAATCCACCCTTCAAAGATTGTTCGAAGGTCAAGATTCTGCATTCTTGCAATGGGATTCTGCTGCTACAATACATGTACTACGACGATGAGCCATCCCACCATCTAAAATCTCACCACCACTCATCGATTCTCATTCGCTTGGTACATTTGATATGTATTTAGCCTTCAATCCCTCCAAATCTCATGAGTATAAAGTCGTTATTGTATATCATTGTGATCCCGAGAATCAGTTGAATAGGAATTGTTTTTCAATAACCAAAAGTTCCTTCAGTTCTACTGCAAATTTCAATAATGGCGTTGATTGGAATGGAGCATCAATTGGATTCGTGAAAGTACAAGTTAGATGGTCTTTTTTTTGTAATACAATGTCGACAGTGATAGTTTTAATAAAATGCCGAGCCTGCAGCCTATACTTGAGTCTGCGCGATTTGGATAGTCGCTGGCATCGAAGCTATTCTCTGGCGAGTCTTGTGGCTACCTTCACTTTGTTTCCGTGGGACTATGGAACCTAAGCTTGAATGTGTATATGATAGAAGGATGATTACTCCGAGTGGTTTATCAAGTATTAAATTGATCTTTCTTACATCATGCATATTACCTTCGGCCATGAAAAATTCTTACATATTGTAATAATGGATTTGATGAAGTTTACATGATGCAGTTTCGCCGGTAGATTTTGTACAATCAACTAGAATCATTGAGTTTTTTAGAATAAAATTTTATATAATATAAATAAATATAAATATTTATAGATAAATAGGGAATTTGTTGATAGGAGAGACACATAGAAATAAAAAAATTTTAATAAATTTTGACTAGACTCATATGATGTAATATTTTAAAAAAACGTTGGGAGCATAGGGCCAACAGTCCGACGGATATTTTCCAAACTTCTCTCCCATGACATCTGTATAAGAATTGTGTCGAAGAACTCGATATCTTGCCTTAGAATCGTTTTCAAGTATAGGCTTCTATTCGAGCTGCCCGTCTTTCTCTCGTTACTATCCAACACATCATCTGTAGAAGTCCAGCAGTTCCCCCGCCAACACCTAAGACCAAGGTGAAATCGAAGACTTGGCGACGAGAAGGGTCTGTGTACACAGGCGACTCGAATTCCGGCATGATTTTTTGCTAATTTTCACCCTCTGATTCGATGTTAATCTACAATCCCAAACAAGCATAAAGAAAGCCTAAATCCTCAATAAAAATCTGAGTTTTAGGAGTTTAAAGAACATACCGATTATGGCGACGACAATGCAGAAGGGATCGTCCCTCAAGCAATGTTTTCTTGGGGAGCAATTTTGGGGAAGAAAGAGAGAGAAAATAACTATGTCGATTATGCCTCTGCTTCACCAGGCCGGGTCGAAGACCATCCGAAAAATGACGTCCAAACTATGCTTGTTGTGTGATTTTATTTTTTCACTTCACAAAATATGGACGCAAGGCGTCTAAAGTTGCCCCATTGCGTTTGCTCTTAGGTGTTGTCGGGGGAATTACTCGACTTCTACGAATGATGTGTTGGATTAACGGGAGAAAGACAGGCCGCTCGAATAAGAGGCCTATACTTGAAAACGATTCTAAAGCAAGATATCGAGTTCTTCGACACCGTGACCACAACCCGAGAGGTCATTGAGAGAAAAGGTTGGATAGAAACATGTTCATTAAAAGTGTAATGTTTTACTTTGAATTTATGTTAAAGAAAAGATTTTTTTGTCAATGTGAAAAAATAATAGGCCTTAAACATGTTCATTGAGAGTTTTTTTTTTTTTTTTGTCCATAGAAATGTAATGCCTATAAAAAGGCACTTTGTGCTTCATTTTGGTTACACCATAAGCATTCTTTCTTCCTTTCCTCTTCTCTTAAGTTCTTCCCGACAATATTTCGGGAAGTTTTTTATCAACTTTTCGATTATTCTTCTTCCTCTTTCAGCTTCTCAACACAATTTTGTTCTTCCTTATTTTAATTCGTCGGAGCTTCGAAATATTGGATCCTACCTAATTAATTTGAAGACAAATGTTTTATCTTTGAGATTGTTAAGAATCGGAGAGAGAAGTTTTGTCCTCGACGCAACATAATTATTTTTCTTGCAATATAATTTATACATGTATTCAACGTATATATGAAAGTGCCAAGGAATTCAGCAATATTCAAGAATCCAACCTTCAGAGATTGTTCGAAGGTCAAGATTCTGCATTCTTGCAATGGGATTCTGCTACTACAATACATGTACTACGACGATAAGCCATTCATTCCACCATCTAAAATCTCACCACCAATCTGTCGATTCTCGTAAGCCTGGTTCATTTTATATGGCCTTCAATCCTTCCAAATCTAATGAGTATAAAATCGTTATTGTTTATCAAGGTGAACCAGAGAATCAGTCGAATAGGAATTGTTTTTCAATAACCAAAAGTTCCTTCAATTCTGCTGCAAATTTCAACAATGGCGTTGATTGGAATGGAGCATCAATTGGATTCGTGAAAGTACAAGTTAGATGGTTTCTTTTTTTTTTTTCGTAATACAATGTCGACAGTGATAGTTTTAATAAAATGCCGAGCCCGCAGAGTGCAGCCTATACTTGAGTGTCATCGAAGATATTTTTTGCCGAGTCGTGTGGTCACTTCCACTTCGTTTCTGTGGGATTATGGAACCTAAGCTTGAATGTGTATGAGATGAAGGATGATTACTCCCAGTGTTTCATCAAGTATGAAATTGATCTTTCCTACATCATGCATATTTTCTTCAGTTTCTACGTAATTTTCGTAATTCGGGGCGAGAATTTTCAGCTAAAACTTTTAATTAGGTATGCCTTAGAAAATTTCTGATGCAAGTTATAAGATACAAGATGAATTTTGAAAGTTATCGGCCATGAAAAATCCTTACATACTGCAATAGTGGATTTGATGAAGTTTACATAATGCAGTTTGCCTGTAGATTACGTACAATCAACTATAATGTGCCCACAATTAAAATCAAGAGAAACAGAAATGTGGATTTTCATGCTGTCAGTTGCTCACGGCTTTGATATTATGTCGGATGCGCAGAATAATCGTTTCACCTAAAAGCTCAAGCTGTTAGGGAAACACATGATTAAAATAGTAAAATTTTAAATTAAAATAATTATTTAATGTGATATATAAATATGTATCGATGTGATATTTTAAATGTAAATGTAAAATGAAATTTCAGTGTAATATAATAAATAGAAAATAAGTGTTCGATCTGATGTTTTTAGAGAAAAATTTTTGGAATAGAAAAACTAAAACCGAAATCGCACAAGAAAATAACACACTCTATCTATCCGCAAACTGGAGTACCCAACACTAACCTTCTCTACCATGGCATCTTGTATAAGAATTGTGTTGCCTAACATACTCCCAATGATCTCTCCTGTTGTGGTTTCGGTGTCGAAGAACTCGATATCTTGCCTTAGAATCGTTTTCAAGTATAGGCTTCTATTCAAGCTGCCCGTTTTTCTCCTGTTACTATCCAACACATCATCTGTAGAAGTCCAGCAGTTCCCCCGCCAACGTCTAAGAGCAAGGGGACACTACAAGAAAATATTATTTTTGTAATGAGATTTTTTTTTTGTCTTTAAATATACTTTTTCCGTTAGTAGTGACATTCGAAACGGAATTAGAGATATAATTAAGTTAGCTAACTTTAGGGATAGAATTACGTTAGCTAACTTTAGGGACGGATTTTCGTTACAAATATACTATTTTTTGTAGTTGGAAATTGAAGACCCGGCGACAAGAAGGGCTGTGTACACACAGGCAATCGACTCAAATTCCGGCATGATTTTTTTGCTAATTTTCACACATTGATTCGATGTTAGTCCACAATCCCAAACAAGCATAAAGAAAGCCTAAATCCTCAATAAAAATATTAGTTTTAGGAGTTTAAAGAACATACCGATTATGGCGATGACAATGCAGAAGGAATCGTCCTTCAAGCAATGTTTTTTGTCAATTGTGCCTCTTGCTTCACCAGGCCGGGTCGAAGACCATCCGAAGAATGACCTCCAAACTATGCTTGTTGTGTGATTTTATTTTTTCACTTCACAAAATATGGTCGCAAGGCGCGTTTGCTCTTAGGTGTTGTCGGGGGAATTACTCGACCTCTACAAATGATGCGTTGGATTAATAGGAGAAAGACAGGCAGCTCGAATAAGAGACCTATATTTGAAAACGATTCTAAAGCAAGATATTGAGTTCTTCGACACCGTAACCACAACTCGAGAGATCATTGAGAGAGAAAAGTTGGATAGAAACATGTTCATTAAAAATATAATGTTTTACTTTGAATTTATGTTAAAAAAATAATAAGTAATAAATAATAAATCTAGTAATGTGAAAACTATTTCGAATTGAATATGATTAATTTAAGATTAAAAATAAATCTAATAGTGAAAGATTTTTTTTAGATTCGATTACAACTCCATTTGTAGGCATTTAATTAATTTTTTTTGCCGTGAGAACCTGCATCCGCTACCGGAAGTGCGCACTGAGTAAACCTTGGAACAAACCTAATACCCTGTAAACTAATATTTACATGTACACTTGTTAACGATAATATGCATGTAACAATTTTATGTTACAAATATATTAATTTACTTCCTAAAGGTCTGTTATATTACTATATTTGAAAAAATAAAAAATTGAGTGTTAATTATTATTTTTGTTCAAATTTGAATTACAATTTTTTTTTTAATTACTAATTAGATTTTTAAAGATATCATCAATTATTTTTTTCTATTTTATAATAAAAGTATTATTATTATTTCTTTTTATTTCTAACTCAGATGAACTGACTGAGGAATGAAGTATAGAATGTGTTAACATACAAAATAATTACAACAAGAAATTGTATCAAATAGCTACATGTGACTTCTAATTGTTGGCAACGAATTTTTACAAATATAATTTAATTTTTAAAATATATATATATACATATATTAGACGAATCGATGCAAAAAAATAAAATTATAAGATGTATATGGAAATGTAAATAAATTATGATATGTTATTTATATTATTTAATTAAAAAAAAAAAACACAATAAAAACCAAAAGGAAAAACATTTTTTTTAACCTACAACAAAAGCAGGTGCATATCTGGATTGCCGGAGCTCCGGTCGCCGGCGACACCAAACATCCACGGCGTGGCCACTCCACACTTAAAATCAGGTTCAGGTCGGCGGAACTGAAAATTCTTCGCAGTGTGTGAACCGTACAGAACACGAAAAGCACTCCCCCGCGCAGATTGCACCGACAATAACACCACACCCAAACGCACCAAAATACTTCCATAACACGCTCCGATTTCGCTTCTCCTTCTCCTCCGCCAGATCTTCGCAATCGGAGCAATTCTCCGGCGACTTCTCGCAGGAAAAACTCTCCTCCTCTGAAATCGGAGAATCGTTGCACATGAACACCTCTGTGCAATTATCGCATACAATTAACTCACGATTTCTTGACCGGAGGATCCAATCGCGGAAGGCGACCTTGAGTTTAGCGAGTCGGTGCTCGATTTCGCGGAGTTGATCGGAGGCTTCAGGATGCGACGAGAGCTCCGCCGAGAGGAGTTTCTGAAGGAAGAGGATCCGCTCGTCGAAGTCATGGAGGTGGCCGGAATCTTCGCCGCCGGCGTCGGCGAGCGCGGTCTCCAATTCGAGCAGTTTCTTCCGCAAAAAAGGTAAGCTCCGAGACATCCTTTTCCTCTCTATCCTTCGCTTTACTGGTTGCTAGAAATGATGAACTGTAGATTTTGGAGATTATAAATAACGGAGAAGCTTCGCGGCGGAACCGCCGCAACTTTTCTGTTCCCGGCGGCGGACCGTCGTGGCGGTTGCAGAATCGTCTTGTGGTATTTAAATTCTTTCAACGGTTTAAATTTTAAATATTCAGAATTTAAATAGATGAAGCGGGCGAGGGGACGGAAACATGTTTGATTGTTATTTATGCTGTAGAATATATAGTTGAAAGTTATCTTTAAGGGGAGGAAAACAAAATCAAAATTGGTTCTACGAAAGAAAAGAAAAAATAAAAAATCCATTTTTGTCTTTATATAAAAAATTATTAATTTAGTTTTCATTATACATAATTTTAATCAATTTTAATCTAACTACGGAAAAATAAACAAAAGATATGGATGATGATATAAGGGAATCTGACGTAGCCGCTACTCGAAAGTGCACACTAAGTCGGGAGTTTGAACTCATAACTTTACGGTCATAACTTCACCTCCACACCACTAGACCATCCCGTAAATATCAAGTTGGATTTCGTTTGTTACGCCGATCAACGTTTTCTATTAGTTTTTCAATGATAAAACTAAAATGAATTAAAAGTGTTTACAATAGAACTAAACTTAACAAGTATTTTTAATATTAAAATTAAAATTAATAAATTTCTTTTAACAGTCGACTTCGATTTTTTTTTCATATTTAGAATTTATATATTTTTTTAAAAGTATATAATTTGTCTAATATGACTTGTTTTGTCGAATTTAAATTGCAGGGTATTAGTTTCGTCCAAAGTTCACGTAGGGTGTGTTCGTTTGATGGATTTGGACAAAATCCCACTATTCATCCAAAATTTTCTCACCAAAAATATCAAATCAAACACCTATTTTTTATTTTTTATATTATACGAAAAATCAATTTTACATTCAAAACATCACATTAACACATATTTATATCACATCATACAACTATTTAAATTCAAAATTTTTACTTTTCAAATCTCAACTCAAAATCCAAACCCCTAAACAAACACACCCTTAGTGTGCACTCTCATGTGGCTGCTGCTAATTTTTACATTATAAAAAATAAAAAATGGCTCAATTTCCACTTTATAAAAAAAAAGGGGAGGGGGATTCCGAATCAATAAGAATTCACTAATCATATTCCCTCTCTTACATTCACAAATATAACAAATTCTCTAAAAAGGGTAAAATAGGGGAAAAATTAAAATGAAATTTTTATTTTTTAAATATTATCCTTTTAGTTTTTGTATACTATTTGAAAATATTTATATTTTTTAAGAGAGAGATATAAATAAATAAATTTTTAACAAAATTGATTTTAATTTTATATATTACGTTAACTAAATTATTTTATATTTATTAAATATATTTTAATTTAATAAATTTTATCAAAATAAAAATATATTAATGGTTACGGACACAAAATTAAAAAGATGTCAATTAATTGGAACCGATGAAATATTTTTTTAGTTAATTTTTCGATGTACAAAAAATAAATAAAACTACGGAACAATACTTTGATTGCAATCCAAACCATCGATGCACCACGGAAATGGCGATTCTTCTCGAACCCTCACCAGTGAATACTCTCCTCTCATAAACCCTAAAGATCCGATCATTCTGCTGTTAATCAATCCAAGAAGATTTTCCGATTCGATTCGATTCGATTCAGTAGGGCGGGTGGGGCGATGGGCATAATTCGGAGCAGCTTCTCCTTCTTATCAGGAACTGTGTGCGGAATCTACATAGCGCAGAATTACAATATCCCCAACGTCAAGAAGGTCGTCTATGAAGCGCTCTTCACCGCCAAGCAAGTCGAGGAGAAGTACCGCAAGCCAAAAAAGCCAGGCGACGACGACGCCGCCGCCTGAATTCGTATTCGATTCAGCAGGTGCGTCCCCGTAGAACATCACTTGCGATTTCTTCGATCAAATTTTCCATTTCCTTTGGTGTTTCTGTTTTGATACTGATACATGACAGTTAATTCGGTCGTCTATCGCGGATTCGTTTCTATGATTTTAGGATTAGCTAACAATTCTCTGTATATACATAAAATTCCCTTTCTGATTATGTCAAACCGTAGGGAGGATTTCATTGAAGACGATTTGGCAGAGGTATAGTTGCTGATCAATTAAGAATCTCACTGATAGTAGCTTATGAATGCTTGCTTGCATAACTTTTGGAATATGAATTTCCATTCAATTTGATGTTTAAGATCATAAGCTTCTGAAAATGGTGGAGACAGTTTAGAAAGAACTCTGTATCCTTATTTAAGCTAAATCCTGCCATCTTGGGTGGATCGGACAGCATTTTGGGATGATCTTATAGCGATAATAAATAGGATGTTCGCCTGAATTGTCAAACACCTAAGACAGGCAATCGGCATTTGATCAACTAGGTTATGTGCCTTACATTTAGTTGGAATTATTCAGATCATCCTATCTTTTATATGCCCCTGAATTTCGACAATACGATATTAGCACACATATAGGTCGAGATTGCATTCACCTTACACATTTGTGTTTTGTTAAATAGGTGCTGGATTTTGTTCGTAAATAAGATCTGGATGTGATGTTTTGAATAGGAAATAGGTTTCTGAAGTAATCTTTACTTGAAAATTAGGTTTGGATTTGCGTTTAGGAGTAAAGTTTTTTCTGTATGTACGAAAATAGAGTTGAAAACATGAATAAATGGAGCCCTATAGATTTCCTAATATCAGATCATTGTATCTCTTATATGCCCCCGAATTTTGGCAAAATGGTAGTGTGCATATTAGGGGGGCATTATATTAAGCTTCTTAGATTTTCTCTAATCTCTTTCTCCGTATTAAGTCGCATGTGGGAATTCGTATTTGAAACTCCTCTCTTTCCACATCGTCACCTATCTCTAAACACCCCTTTCTTGAGCTTGACATCGGGATCTTGATTCTTGAAGATGTTGACTAGAACTCTACTAGTAAACGCCCATGCCATAGCTACCCGAAGGAATGTAGGTTATGCCCTTAATTGATTTGTTATAGTTCAATTTTGGAAGTCTCTTTTAGTCCAAATGCTATATTTCATTCGTCGTGTAGAGTTTCATTATTTACTGCTCGCCTTTCATTTTAAAGGAAATTCTGACTTGGAACATTCTCGACTGAGCAGTTATACAAGAAAATTTATAGAAGATTCGAACTTCATAAGGAAATGGTGAATTAAGCTGCATGTGGCAAAAACTTGGAGCCTACGAGTTCTGAAAGGGGAATTTTATGTCTACGCCCTTTTTGCAATATTTGGGATGGAGAATCAGTTTCGTTATGCCTGTATAATAAGTCGATCGCTTAACTGTTAGGATGATTTCTGATGTCTCTAGAGGATTCCCCGAACACTTTTTGTGCATTGTCCGGGTTTTGATTTGTGGTAGTTTAAATTTCATGCTAAGGATTCACTTATGCATCATTATTATAGTTGTCATCGTTGTCGTCTTGCTAGGATAATGTGCCAACTGTTTGCTCGCTTTCTGTCCACTTCTTGTCTGTTATCTTTAGCTATTTATCGTACCAATCCAATATGCGATGTAAAGAACATTAGCAATCTGTTAGTGACCGCTCCGTTTTATTGGTTAAATGTATATATGAGATTTTCCGACAACACAATTCTGGGGCAAACCCTCTTTGTGAGAAAGAGTGATTTTATGTCTACATCTCGTTGGGGGTCAAGTGTTGTGTTGATTATGCCTGAACCATACATCGGTCATTTAACTATTAAGATGATTGCTTATGTATCTCGAGGTTTCACCTAATATTTTCTACGCCTTTCCTGTGTATTCTATGAGACATATATTCGAGGTGCAATATAAAAGTTATCCAATGTAGAGAACTATCTATTAATGACCATTCCATTTAGTCGTGTATACGCTGTAACTCTACAAGAATGTGCAACAACATGATTCCCCCTATTTGTATAGACACTTCTGGCCAGACCTAAACTCTCATGCATACGCTTTAATAATATAACCTCCGTCGAAAAACTGAATCTAGACAAAAACATACATATATATACAGACATGAGTTATCGGAATATTACCTGAGTAGTAGTCATAGTCATACATCCGACGCAGGGCACCATGATGTAGGAACTTCTTGTGTCCTCAGCCTCTGAATTTTCTCGGCCACCTCAGCCATAACCAGCCTTGTAAGAAGTAGACCCGCGATCAGGGCTGCACCCATTAGCATAGTGAACACTGCATTCCAGCTCCTGGCGGAAATATAACCCGTAAGCAGCGGCCCAATGGCAGCCCCAATTGAGCCTGTGCCGTCTATAATGGAAGTGACCGTGGCTAGGGCACGTGCATTGCCCTTTAGCGAACTGTGTGTCCCTAGATCGGCAGAAACTGCTGTGGTTATGAGGGCATAGGGTCCATTCACAAATAATCCCGTTATAAACATGAGTATGACGTTCCAAGTCATCGATGCGTGCCCATAGCTTCTGTAGAAGAAGAGGGCAGGTATCGCACAGTACATGAAACTTGCGGCTGTTATGGCCCTTGCGTTTAGATGGTCTGAAATGTGGCCTGCAAGGATCCCTCCAACCACTCCTCCGACATCAAAAACTGTCGATAAGTTTCCAGACTCCTCGTTCGATAAGTATCTCCCCTGAATAGCTGTAGAAATCACAAGAAAAACGTACTTTATCACGATGGGGAAGCTGTAGAACGAAGAATTAAATGGGGGGAGAGATTCGAGTACCTACCTGTGTGACTAATGTAGAATGGCAGCCAGTACAGAAACGTATATGCCACCAATTTAGAAAAGAAAAGACATAACGCAAATGTCGAAACACCGGGAATTCTCCATGCTTCTATGAATCCCACGGCGTCGTTGTTCTCTTCTAAAGTTGTTCTCACGAGAGGTGTCGTAGTATTATCCCCTTCTTTTTGGGCTAAGAGGAGATTGTTTTCGTCATCTGTATCAGCGCCAACCGACTCGGGGCTTACCGGTAGGAATAAGAAGAGCAGAATGGCCATTAAGAAAATACCTAAACCAGGGGCAACCATGGACCATCCCCATCCGTACTTCAACAGTGTGGAAGCTACAATACAACCTGTAATGTTGCCTAGAGATGTATGAGAATTCCATATTCCCATAACGAGCCCTCTCTTCTTTTTCCCACACCAATTGCTCACAACGGCTACGACTGAAGGCCATCCAGTGGATTGGAACAATCCTGCAAGCATCTGGACGATCAAATAGTAGTAGAAAACATGGATGTTTGCCCAGTATCCGATTCCGAAGAGGATGCTAAACATGCCGGTTCCAACCATTCCTGTAGTCAGAAATATCCTGAGATCCATCCTGTCTCCCATATGTCCTGAAAAGAACATTCCCATGGCGTACGCGAAGAGAAAAGCAACGTCCAGATCACCGAGCAACTCTGTTCCATTTTGACCCTTAAATGGTGCCCATCCAGATCCCAGCAACCATGGATCCCTTCTTGTTAAGAAGATGATGGAATGCTGGTCTCTGTCTGGAGATTGTGGATCAAGGGCACTCTTCACAACACTGGCTGTCTTCCTGTTAGCATGATAAGCTGAGTATGCCAAGAAAGTTACTATTAGGACAATAGCCTGATGTGTTTTGTAGGAGAGAGGCGACTTTTTAATGTATTCTATTAGTCCAATTCCTGGGGGTTTGCTGGAACTTGTTTCTGAGGCAACTTCATTGATTGAACCCATCAATGGCTTCAAAGCAATTACCCTCTATAGAACAGAGGACTAGCAAACTGCAATACAAAACAGGGAAAATATATGATAATAAATAACTGAAGTCATATGCACAAGTATATATTTCCCTGTTCAAGTTAGGTAGTGAGTAGTGATACAAACAAAACAGTTTGTCAATCCTGTCAATCCCCAAGTTCAAGTCATACATAGATACATGAAATAGCACAATCAAAAAATAATGCGAAATGTGCAATAAATCTCAGGTAGTAGTAAAATAACGATTTTAGCGTTGTTGATGAGTGAATTACCCAGTGGTACCAATTTACGTATTTATTCTTGGCTGCAATCCGATTCCCCTTTTTGATTGTCGTGCACTTCCTGCACGATTAAAACCGCCACAACAATGAGAAAATCTCTCTCCCTAGACAGAAAAACGAGAACGAAACGAACAAATCAAGGAACAAAAAGTTACTCAAAATCATTCTTCATAGTTACTCCTCATTAACATGTATCACGATTAACTACCACGAGCTGTGAGAACTTATCGAGAAAGACAGAGTTCTTCAAACAAATCTCAAACCTGGACGTCAGCTCAGACGTCAATTTCACAGACTCGTTTTTCCTCAAATAACTACTAATTTAACAAAAACACCATAACAAAAAACCGCCTCGATCAACATCCAAACCAGCATCGGAAAATCGAAAATCGAAAACCTCCACACCAAATCAAAAAACCACACACAACAGTTTCTATTGCCGAAACTACAACACAAAAAACCACGCCATAACTTCTTCAATTACCTGCAATCGGCCGCGCTCGAGCTTCACCGTTCTTACTGAAAACGAATTCGTTCTATCGCCTCTGCCTCTGAAAATGCAATCCGTACCTTCTTCGCCTCTCCTGCTGCCTTGGCAGAAACTGACTTCCCTCGCGCAACTTGGATTCGAGGACGCCATCGCTATGCACCGTTCGCTTTATATAAAGCTCATGATAGAATATAGATAGTGAACTGACCGACTACCTATGAATTCCCCAAATTGCCCCTTCCCGTTACCGCGTCCCCCAACCCAATAAAAATAGAAATACCTTTTTGCCCCTCGTTATAATTTTAACCTAATGATATATAGTATGAAAAGACTAACTAGATATAGGAGGGGATTAACCCCAAGGCATACACATGGTCTTGATTATTTTAATAAAAATATTAAAAATGATTAGTTATTAAATTAGGTAATCTAGAATAGTGTGAATTAGGTGCACAGTTAAGACAAGCTTTGTCTGGATTTACAGGGAATAGTTCTGTCATTCTTTTTATTCCCTTTTATTGGAAAAATATTTAGTTACTACTCAAAATAAGCAATAACCTTTTTTTAATTATTTCGTCCCACAAAAAGTCTAAATCATAATTAGTAAATATTTAAAAATTGTATTAATAAAAATAATTGTAAATTAAGATTAAGACAACTAAATAATTTAGTTAATTTTTTTTTAAAAAAATTAAATTATGAAACTTAAAATACGATTAAAGTGTAATTATATTTTAAAAAAAAAAAAGACAATGACAAATTATGTAGATCCGACTGAAATAGAAAAAACAGACACTTTACTTGGGAAGAAAATATATACTATGCTGAATAAAAGTGTGCATTGTCTATTTATATTTAAAATATGTTTTATAAAAATATATTGTGTACTCTTATTTCTTGTGTTTTATTTGTATGATATTAATATTAATTACTCTCTCCCTCGCAAATAATTTGTCCTTATTTTCTATTTTCGTCTTAATCACATAATTTGTTTTTTCTTTTTTTAGAAAATTAATTATACACTTTAATCATATTTTAAAATTTAAAATTTAATTTTTTTTAATCTTAATTAAACTATTTAGTTATCTTAATTTTAATTTATAATTTTATTTTTACTAAATAATAATTATTTTTACTAATATATTTTTTTAATTATTTACTAATTATATTTTACCTAAATTCTCGTGTTTATAGTAATACACCCATATTACATGGGACGGAGGGAGTATTTATTTCATTTAATAACATCGTATAGTTTCTTGTAATTTAACACAGTGTTGTACCGCAATTGTCGCCAAATTTTCACTCTTTATTATGATACTAGTCACTTGTATGATTTTTATATTTTATTTATTTTTCTAAATTTGGATTTATTGTTGAATTATTATTGCTGTGCTTACTTTAGCTACATATTTATTTTTAGTTTTTTCTTCTTCTTTTATAATACAATCTTCAATATATTTATAAAATTATACTATCTTCGTCCGGCTCTAAGTGTCTCATTTACTTTTTATGTGTTGATATTTGAATATTAACTGTTATATAAAAATGTACTACAAATCAAGGGACAATAGCAAAATACTTATATTAGTATCTTATAATACTATTATAATGATATTTGTGTAAAAAATTATACAAATATAAAGATATTTTTAATGTTAAGTATAATGACGTAAAAGGTAAATGAAACCCTTAGAATCAGATGGAAAAAGTATTATTTTCTTAACAATCATCTTATCTAAAAGTACTAATCACAAAATCAAAATTTAACACAAGATTTTAAGTTTTTTTTTTTTTTTTTCCTATTAACTTTCTTTATTATGTAACAATTATTTTTCTTTTTAAAAATATATTCTATTCGTCCACTTAAAAAGTAAATATTTTTTTTTTTACAAAGTTTGATACATATTATATTTTAATGAAGTTTATGATAGTTTGATATATAAAAACCAAATTACCCTTATAATATATATTCATTAAAATTCGTGTTAAGCTAATATGAACTTATTTTTTTGTGGACAAGAGTAATCAAAATTATACAACCTAAATATTGGAGTAATATTTGTTACATAGATTCAAATATCAGTTTTGGATAAAGAGTGTTTCGTGCAAATTTTACATTAATACAATAGAGTTTTACGCAATAAATAGAACACATGATATTTTGTAATTTTTTACTAAAATACAAGAAAGTGTTATATAATTTATCCCAAAAATTAATTACTATTTTTTAGAACATCCTCAATAAATTGTAGGTTAATAAAAATGGCTTATTATAAATAAATTATGCATTAATTTAACTATTGGCACAATTATTTTGAACAAAGAAAATATTATTTATATTATATAAAATATTTGTATGAACAAAGTAATATTTATATTAAATATATTTGACTGAAATATTAACTTCTAAAAACACTCAATGCCTATATTTTACATTTATTTAAGTTAATTGGATTGTTATTTTCTATTTAATTATTATTAGTATTGAACAATTAATTAACAAGAGAAAGAACACATGATTAACGGTGGCCAACCCTTATTTACTTTTTAGAAATATTAAAATAAATAAATAAACACTATAAATGGACCCATAAAAAAAAAAAAAAAAAAAAAAAAAAAGGTTTAGTTCAGTGGTGTGTAGAAAATTTTACTATAGCGACATTTATGGAAGCTTGGCATTTGGCAACGTCACACTATAATATATGTACAAATTATTAAATTATATAATTCACTTTACAATTGTTTTCATTTTTTTAACGATCTAACTTTCATGATTTCATATAAATATATATTATAAAAGAATATTTATATTAGTATGAAACTAATCTTATTTTTATATTATTATTAAACAAATATAAAAAAAAGTTATAATTAAATTAAAATGCACATTCATAGTTACAAAAATAACTTTTATCCAAGAACACACTCATAGCTACTACGAATTCTTAAAAAAAAAAAAAAAAAAAAAATTAAAAAATAACTTTTAACTAATTTTTTTGTAACAGTGAGATCATAAATTCAAATTCTCCGATCCCTCACCAAAAATTAATCAAACCGCACTTGAAAAATAACGGCCGTTTGAAGGTTTGAACCATGACTTCACGGTCACAAATCCAACCCATACCAAACCATCCCTTACTAGACTTATTATTATTATTTATTTTAATTTATTTTTCTGAAATAATAAATATTTATTAAGTAAATCAAATCGAATCAAATTTGTGTTAAATTTTTTTTAATTTAGTAGGTCTCGCAGACAAATCATGGGTAAAGTCCGAGTACGTACGGGCCCGGAAATATTAGAATTTGGGTAGGATCTTGGATCCAACAATATACATATAAGTAGGATCTTAGGTCATCTATACCCGTCCCATAGCCATTGTCATCCCTGCCAAGATCCCTTCAAATCAACTTAGGGCCCTCTCATAGTTTTCTAGATATTTATTTACCTATATTCATAAATCACAATGAGAAGTCAAAACCCCAAAACATTGATAAATGTATAGAATAGAGTGTAAAGAAAACATAACAAGTATAAACCTCCAAGAAACTGTTATAGAACACAGCAAGGTAACAGTACAAATAAATACAAAAATGTATCTGCCATTATGGAGGCAGAAAAGAAGTAAATCGAGCTAGACATAAACACAAACATGTCTCTAAACAAAAGAAAGGTATACTGTGTCCATCCCAAAACACACACAAATGGAAATCAAACAGAGCAAAGAGACTTACAATAGCACTGTTGTAATATAGATCAGAATTCGACCTCATTCTCGCGTCTTTTTCGTGATAAGTTGAACAAAAACCAAAGCAATAACAAAGCTCATAATGAAACTGTAGCAGAAGATTTATACAGACCAATCAACTTAAAATAATACTCACAGCATGTTGGTATGCTTCCAAAGATTGCTGAAGTTTTCGATGGATGATCCCAAGCCCCAGTGACAAACAAAAAACATAAAAAAACCGTGATTTCCTAGGTTATCTGAAAATGGGAGAAAATCCAACAACCAAGGGGATGGTTAACTTCAATGTAACAAAAAGAACATGCATTATATACTGTCGATCGGGTGTTGGATGATAATGTTATGAAGAAGAAGAAGAAGAAGAAGAAGAAGAAACAAAAATGGATAGAAGAACATGGTAGGAGAGTGCCCGAATATCATGTGCACCAGACCAGACATTTGTGGAAGAAGAATCAACAGCTGCAGGTGCTCATTGAGACGAACTCTTGTCTGCAAGAATTGACAATTAATAACAACATAAAAATATATATCACAATTTTCAATCAAAATACATTATCTTCTTTCGTAAAATATGTAAAAATTAATAAAAATTAAATCACTCGAACAAAATAACAACCACCACCACATTTGACATCTCAACAAACACAAGAAAAGAGAAATAAAAACCACAGATACTGAGGTTGGTGATGAGGCTGAACCTACCTTGCAACAACTCACAGCCGGCCAACATATTGACGGTTAAGTAAGATGTCAGACAAAACCCCTAAGACTCCAATTAAGGATTGCGACAAAAATGGAGCCATGGCCATGAGCCTACGCTGAATCGAACACAGGAAACCTATAAAAATTGGGGTAGAATTGAAGAAAAATTAAAACAACCCAAAAAATCAAACCTAGCCATAGGACAATCGATTCTTGTTGTTCGACAACAAAGATCCACTCTGCCTCGTCGGAGGCATTTAGGCGGCCACTGCATCAAATACGAGAGCAATAGTCGGAGGAGATAGAGGCGGAATAGATGGAAGTGTCCTAAACTTATCGAGCAGCCACAACAATTACCTCATAGTTTATAATACATGAACAAGTGCATGAACATAAGGCAAGTCATTCCCAAGATTGAATTGAAAAGAATGACATGTCCGTAAGTGTAAGACAATAAAAGGAGCACGTTTTTGCAGTACAAAAGTAATGGGTAATGACACTTACAAACTCACATTGAACACGATAGCACAACCATATCATACCAAATTGACATAAAATTACGCATTGAACCTTCAGATACTTGCAAAGATTAACACTAAGTCAACGAGATTAGCAATTTATTACATCAGTAGTTATACCCCAGCTACAAACAAAATGTCACATACCTTGAAGGTTTTTTGCATTGAAACTTGCCTGCTCGAATTCCACAAATCCAAAACAAAATCCGTGTTGCTGCAAGAAATACACAATAAGTTTCTTTTTTGCAGTTCTTAATACTTTTAGTGACAAGAAGTACCCGTTATGCAATCTACAAATCAACATAATATTTTTAACATACTCTGTCGCTTCTAACTTGAAGTCCGTCATTCTTGATAGTCACAAATGTTTCCTCAAGTAACCCTTCAGGTGGCATTCACTGAAGGCCTTTGATATATATTGAGAACCAATCAGCTACAAAAGGTGGAGAGAAAACATGCTAGGAACTAGCTCCTAACATAGCATGCCACATGTTATACGGCATGGCAGCGGCTATAGTGCTGAATTTAAAATTCAGCAATATGACGGCATATTGTATATGTTAATATAATACAAATACAACACATGAACTAACAACACATACTATAGTCACATGCCGGGCGGACACACAATAATTGATTTTAGCACATGACATACCTTTATACAACACATGTAATTATGAACAAAAAGCTCATGTCTTTATTATATTAAGAACATGCGAAGTTTGTATATATTATGGGTGTTGATTTGGACTCGGTGGTAAACTGATTTTTCCAAATCAGCATTGTAACCATTACCTATACGCACCATGCAATTCTGGCTGTTCATTTCTCATTCAAGAACACGACAATCATCGTCGTGATGCTTTAATTGGACACAATATGAGCAATACAACAGTGAAGTTATAAAAAATGCTTAAAATCGACAATGTTAAAGATAATCCAGCCCACATAATTAGAGACAGGGTAACAAATTACTACAAAGCTGAATATAAGATTTTTGATCCTCAACAATAAACTAAACACACTTTAAAAACATCAAGAATCTACCATCCGGTAATCAATCAATTCCTATGAATCAGAACCTTTGTTTTTCCTCCTTTTACCATTCTTCTTCTCCTCTGAATCAACCAAGTCACTCTTCTTCATCTTTTTCTTCTTCTCCACCTCCTCCCCTCCATCACCCTTCCTCTTCTTTTCCTTCTTTTTCTTCCTTTCATCCCCTCCATTACTCAAATTTTGTGCCTCGTCGACACTAGGGTTAGTCTCATCAACACTCATCCCATTATCTCCCTGACTATTTCCCTTTCCTCCTTCCAGATTCCTCTCCAACCAATCCGATTGCAGCTTCTGGACACGCTCCCGGTCCGCAGCATCGCTATTTTGGGAGGGTTTCTTATGGAATTGGACCAAGTGATTGAAGGCTTCGGATGTGCGTTCCAAATACAAGAAGATTGCGGGTGTAGAACCGTTGTCGACGGCGGCGAAGCGGGAGATGAGTTTCGCTGCCCGAGAGAGGGAGACGGGCTTCGAAGACAGAACTTCACCAGATATCTTCCTCATCCCTTAGGGCTTTAGCAGAAGATGCTCTTCTAACTCGTTTCTACAGGCTGCTTATAGACCAACACTGTGGGTGGGTGGGTGTGGTGTGTTTAATTTTGCTTGATGTTAAAATAATATTTAAATGAATATTTTGTAAAAATAAAAAATGTATTTTGGAATTGTAAAGTCCAAATACTAAAAACGATTTTGTAACTAAAGAAACACATCATCCTGTGCATCTTCTATTCAAAGAATATACTCTCTTGTTTCATTAATAATTTATTTATCTTTTTATTTTGGCTTGTCTAGTAAAAAAATATTTATTTATTTTACTAATTATATTATCTATTAACATTATAAATATTATTCTAATTTACAATATATTACATAAATATTATTTTATTTATATTATATTTTTTTCGTTTCAGATATAATAATAAATATAAGGAAAAAAAATTATTTTTAGTTTCAATATAATCAATTTTGGTATTAATATAATTATTTTTTTATCAATTTCCGTTCCAATATAACCAAAACTCATCAATTTTGGTCTTAATATAACCAAAATTTATCATTTTTGGTCCAAATATAAAATTTTTATCAATTTTAGTTCAAATATAACAAAAACTCATCATTTTATATCTTAATTTAATCAACCTTTTTTTTTTTCTCACCGTCAACCAATCGACGGAAAATGCTGACGTAGACTTGCAAGATTGTGCAATTTCTTCAAATATAAATACAAGGTTTGATTTATTTTCACCTCAGCATTTTTCGTCGGTTTGTTGACTGTGTGACCAAAAAAGATAAAGTTTGATTATATTGGGACAAAAAATGATGAGTTTTGGTTATATTGGGACTAAAATTGATAAAATTTTATATTGGGACAAAAAATGATGAGTTTTAGTTATATTGGGACCAAAATTGATAAGATTTTTATATTGGGACTAAAACTGATGAATTTTGGTTATATTGGAAATTATTATAAATAAAAAAATGTATTAGTAAAAATAATTATTATTTAGTAAAAATAATTATAAATTAAAATTAAAATAAATAAAAAATTTAATTAAAATTATAAAATTAAAAATTAAAAATTAAAAATATGATTAAAGTGCAAAATCACATTAATACCGTTAAAACTCTTTTCCCAAAAACAAATAAATATATAAATAGGGGATGGAGGAGTATATAATGGCCGAACCGCCGGTTCAAATCGCCCAAATCGTACCTCAGCCGATTTGAACCGACGGTTCGCGGCTTGGCAAAGGTTCACGTTCCGGTTCGGTTTGGGTTTGAGTTTGAGTTTGAATCGGTTCGAGAACCGGCGGTTTGGAGCCGGATGGTGGGCAAGTCTAATAAGTGAAAGCAACACAACACCACCACCCCCAGATCATCGATTCGTCAACAATAATCACTGCTGAATTGCATTTGCCTGTCGATCTGTAGCTACCTAAGTTTGAATCAATGGGGGATCCCTCCAGAATCATGCCTCGCACCACCACTCTCCGGCCGCACTCCAGGCGCTTCCTCGATTCTATCGCAGCTCTCCTTTCATCCCACCGCACTGTCCTCGCTCTTGCCTGGGCCCTAGGATTCATACTAATTATCGCCTTCCAAAGGTCCGCCACTGAGAGGTTCTGGAGCGCCCCTCCCCGGCCCATTCCCAGGCTTCGGAAATTCGTCTTCAACCTCACCGATTTCGGGGCGGTGGGTGATGGGGTTACTGTGAATACGAAAGCTTTCGAGGCTGCAATTGCCCGAATTCGGAGGCGAGGTGGGGGGCAGCTCAATGTGGAGCCTGGGCGGTGGCTAACGGCGCCGTTTAACCTCACCAGTCACATGACTTTGTTTCTCGCAGAAGATGCCATTATTCTCGGAATCGATGTGAGTGGCCTTTTTTTTTGTGGTGTTTATGTTATTTGCTTTGTCATTATTTGGTGTTGATGTTGATGCTGATGTTAGTTCTTTTGGTTAGTTTTTGAAGAGATACAAATTTCTAAAATGAGTTTAATTTTGTTTTTCATTTTGCATACAAATCACCTGCCTAATGTGTAATACGTGCTTTTCTTTCCATTTTTGGTATACAAATCACTGGACATTGGAGGTCAAATGCTTATCATTCGAGATTGTGAAACCTTTTTAATGTCTTGATTTAAGCTTTACCTCACAGTTTCCTGGGTGAACCTCAAAGATTGTTAGCCCAGATTGTTGATGACTTAGTTTAGCAATGTTGTAGCACTTATATTCCCCTTTATCTATGTGTATGCCACATTGCATTCCTAGTCCTTCTTCAACCATTCTCATATCCTGTAGACTATGCTCGAACATGTTCATAATTCGAAACCTTCTTTAATCACAGAGAGCAAAATTAACTTCTTCTTCTTTATTTTTACACTAATAAGGGGATTTGGCATAGAGAATGTAATTATAAAGATAAATGAGAATAGAAAATAGAATTTTTCAGAGAGAAAAGGAATTTCGTAGCTAATGAGAATTAATTCTCTTGTTTGGTAAACATATAATTCAGTTGAGAAATGTAAAAAATGCAATTATTTAGATGAATCGATCAAAATAAAGGACTAATGAGTTAAATAATAAATTAGATACGATGTTTTGTAAGATAAAATTTTAGTTTAATTTTAAAAACTAGTAGTAAAAAAATAAATATTTGAATAATAAAATATATACGATGTTTTATAAAATTGAAATAATATAATTTTAAAAAATATAAAAATTAAATAATACAAAAAAACAAAAGATAAAAATAAATATACTGTATCAATATACAATTCTCTGTATTTCTCTGTATATGACACCAGAGAAATAAAATCAGAGAATGAGAAATGATTATTTCTTCAACTCTCAATTATGGGCCTCATTTTTCTGTATCAAACACACCCTAGGAGTATTGCACTTGGCTATTGTACTTGAGAGTTCTCAAACTGTCATAGAGGCTATGAAAGTGAACTGTAATGAGTTTTTCATTCGATAACAGGCATACATTTTTTGCTCTTATATCATGTGTAGGAATACAACCACATGATAAACTCTTGCAAATAGAAATTGTAGGCACTAGACATTTTTGTTCTCTTATAGTTTTTAGCTTTATTCACTTGTTCTATAAATTCTAGAGAGGATAGTGGAGATTAAAAGTTAGTAAGCCAGATAGAGCTACTTCCATTTCTAATCAAACTCGACTGTTTCTCCTTATTGTTGAATATTGTCCTACATTGTTAAATGTGTGGGATCTCCCCTAATATATAAGGGTGAGGGCCACTCCACCTAATCACCAATTGGTTTTAGGTTGAATGTCCGGATCCCTTCTTAACATGGTATCAGAGCCATGGTGCCCATATTGGGTTTGGATCCTGTATGGATTTTTGAGATTATTATCTCGAGGGGGGAGTGTTGAATATTGTCCCACATTGCTAAATGTGTGGGATCTCCCCTAATATATAAGGGTGAGGGCCACTCCACCTATCACCAATTGGTTTTAGGTTGGATGCCCGGATTCCTTCTTAACACTTGTTAACCCTACCACTTACTAATTACTGAATAGTACCAGGTATAATCTAATACTAATTCTAATATAGATTTAAAACCTGCATAGCTTTCCTTAGATCAAGATTGTCAAGGTTCACTGTGCTCATACCTTGACAAATGCGTGAACATCTCCACTGTTAGTGGTCATGTCATTGGTAAACTACTTACTACTGGATGTTGTTGGTTTGTACTTGGTCTTGTGTCCTCGCTTCACTCTATCTATTACTCCCTCCGTCATTCAAATTTATATTCACTTTCCTTTTTCGATTGTCATCGAAAAATATTCTCATTTTTTTTTAAGTAAAAAATAATTTTACTTTTGTACTGTTTTTTACTATAAAAGAAAAATTTAACAATTATTACTCACTTTTATTCGAACTCGTGGCCGGTCAAATGAGCACACATTTGCATGACGGAGGGAGTATGTTTTTTTTTTTTTCAGTGGTCTGAATTTTCCATCCATTCCATGATTCTACTACAGCATCAGAAGAAAAAGGCTTTAATAGCATAGACTCCACTCCTTCAATAGCTTAAGGCACAATCAATAGAGTTATCATTGGACGGAAATCACATCCCTTGGGGAGCACTTCCAAATATTATGATAGTTACAAACTTAACTTAGGCTTTACAGCCTACTCTTAAGTAGGAAATCCACACTTGCATTTTATTTAATTATATACACATAGAGGGTGATAGAATATGCATTAATGGATTTAGCAGGTTAAGCTAGAAATTTCCTGCATTTTTTGGGACTGTTCATTGGTTGTTGCTTACATTGTTTGCCATCTCAAGATGAAATTCGGAAAATGTTGACAAATTTAGAACTTTGCCATGCGTATAATGGTAAAATCACTACTTCTAATCATGTGAGTCTATATATTTCTCTTATCAGAGCATGAAGTTGTAAAGCCATCACACCTGTTGTGCACTGTTTTCAAACATAAACTGGATTATCAGGTATGGCAGCTTCTTTTGGAGCGAGCTTTTTAAGATGGCAGAATGGCGATTATCATTATAGGAAGGAAATTGCGTTAACTGTATTTCCTAATCTGTTTAAAAGAAACACTGCAACTTTCCTCCGCTCATACTTGAAATGTAAGTTTTTTTATTGATGATGGAAAGAAACATCTGAGAAACCATGGGTTTTGGATCAAAAAGCGTTCTTGTTTCCCAATTGTCACCAATTAAGATGTGAAATTTACAGAAAAGTTGACATATTTGCTTATTGTATTTTCTCTGCCTTGTCTTGGCAACTAATTCACAACGAAGATATTTTTTACCAATTCAGAAGTACACGTATTCTTATCTGAAGTTGGATGACCACAAAAACACTTGCCACTCTGTGCTAGAAGATTATCGTTGCTTCATGTCTTAACTATGTTTCCTGGTTTGGAACACAGTCTAATCTTATAATGAATCTCACTATATATATATATATATATACAGATATTAAATATCTAATACGATATTCTGTTCATGTTATGAAATAACTTGCCTGTACCATATATGCTCTTGTTCAATTCCTAACAACATGCTACCTCTGTAGCAACGCATGGTTACTCATAGAAGTCCTACTGTGTCCATCTGAAACTAAAAGAAAGTGGAGTTAAAGCGAGTAACACCTTCTGATATGGTAAACATGTTCTTGTTGGATTGGACAGGATGAAAGCTACTGGCCACTATTACCTCCTTTGCCATCTTATGGCTATGGAAGAGAACGGGCTGGACCACGATATGGAAGTTTGATCCATGGTCAAAACTTGAGGGATATTGTGATAACAGGTACTTTTGTTGTTTTTTCAGATGAAATTTGTTTTGGAGTATAAGCCAAGGTGTTGATCATGTTTGATGTCTTTTGTGAGGTCGAGCATGTCATCTTACTTGTGGTCTGATTATCCACTGACAGGACACAATGGTACCATCAATGGACAAGGTCAGACGTGGTGGACTAAGTATCGTAAGAAACAATTGAATCACACTAGGGGTCCCCTGATTCAGCTTATGTGGTCAAGGGACATACATATATCAGATGTAACTCTCCGTGACTCTCCATTCTGGACTCTTCATCCTTATGATTGTCAGAATGTTACTATCAGAAATGTTACGATATTAGCTCCGCTTTCTGGTGCGCCAAACACTGACGGAATTGATCCTGGTAACATTTTTTTCTTTTTCTTTAAGGGATAGCATAATTTACCTCACATATTTCATTATTAAAATCGGAACTTAATCTATGAGAAGGAGATTAGAACTTCCAAGTTCAACTGCTGGTGTATGCTAGGTTCTAAGCAGAAAAAAAAGGTTATATATTAAGGCCCCGGTTTGCTGCTTGTTAATTGGTTAATGAGTTCTTATTGTTTTTTTCTGAAAATTTAATTGGATAAACATTGAAAGTATGGAACTTAGTCATGTATACTGGGTATATGGCCAAATTCAAATATCAGTGAATATCAAATATAATTGGGAAACACTATTATACAATGTATATGGCCATAGTCAATATCTTGGCCGATTAATCTCTGGACTTTTGTGGTTTCTGCAGATTCATGCACGAGTATGTTGATAGAGAATTGTTATATAAGTGTTGGTGATGATGCAATTGCAATCAAAAGTGGCTGGGATCAGTATGGAATTGCTTACGGGAGACCTTCAACTGATATTCTCATACGTAATGTCATCGTGCGCTCAATGATAAGGTGAGAGTTTTGTAGGTTGTACTGCTTCATTGTGCATGTGCTTATTAGAGTGGCTCAATACGGTATGTGATCTTGGAAAAGGCCTGGAAATGTGAATTAGGAAATAGTATGAAATCCTGACTCGGATAATTCTCATGAGTGCTAGGCACATGTGAACATGCTAAATTAAAATGGAACATATTGTCTTATCTGTTAGTCTTAAGAGTTCATCAGTTTACTTATGTAATCTATAATTCACATGAAAATATTATATTAAAATATAAATGAAATAATTAAATAAGAAATATACTCCGAATATATTAAGTGTCTTATTTTTTGTTCAATTTAACGGAAACTAAAAATATTTAAGAAATGGATGAATTTAAACTCAAAATATGTTTATGAAATATTTTGATGAGGAAAGAAAAGTGTCGCGGAAGGACAAATAAAATTTCATATAAATGAAGACTAAAACATATTTATTTCTTTAACATAAATGAGTCAGGGATGGGTATAACCTTTTTTTTTGGGGGGGGGGGGGGGGGGATGCTGAGAATTTATTAAATATATGCCTTGTGTGTGAATGTTTTTAGTCCTTGCAATCCAGTATCACATATATACCAAAGAGAATGCTTCATAATAATAATAATAATAAAAAAAGAATAAGATTGATTTTGTAGTTCAGCAGTGCAGGTTACAAGGTCCTGCCAGTACGAACATTGAGTTTTGATTTGCATAACATTGAATGATTGTTGATTCATAATATATATATATATATGCACATATGTTTGTAAAAGAGAAATTGTTAATTTTTTTAAAGTTGTATCTTTTGAATAATGCATATGTTTTTGTGGCGATGGACACACCATACATCTGAATATTGCAAATTTATCCTGTTATACATTTGTGTCCAACAGTGCAGGAGTTTCAATCGGCAGTGAAATGTCTGGTGGAGTCTCAAGAGTAATCATTGAGAATCTTCTTGTTTGGAGCTCAAAACGAGGTGTTAGAATCAAGACAAGTCCTGGCAGGGGTGGATATGTCCGACAAGTAACCTACCGAAACCTTACCTTAGACAATGTTAGGGTGGGCATTGTAATGAAGACTGATTACAATGAACACCCGGACGAAGGCTATGACCCAAACGCCCTTCCACATATTGAAGACATTAACTTTGACAGGATTCACGGACAGGGAGTTCGAATCCCAGTTCGTATCTATGGGAGCCCTGAGATCCCTGTCAGAAACATTACTTTCCGCAACATGTCAGTTGGAATAACTTACAAGAAAAAGCGAATCTTCCAGTGTTCTTTTATCCAAGGACGTGTGGTCGGAAAAATTTTTCCTGCCCCGTGCGAAGAACTTGATGTGTATGATGAAGAAGGCCATCTTCTCAGGCAGGGAATTTCTCGAAATAGTACAAGAGACACTGCGAGAACTGGCACAGATGTAGACTATGATTAACAAGTACATATTGGATTGAAACTTTGGTGGATTTTTTGGTATGGCAAATGCCGATAATTCAGTTCAGAGATTGAGCAGAACACATGGTGCTGAGCATTGTTATTTGAGTTGATGATGAAATTGGAAGACGACAAGAAGGCAAGACAAGGTTGTAAGAAGTGAGGGGAGAGTACAAATTTGTTGGATTCTGAAAGAGCTCAAATTATATGCTAATACTATTCTGTAAAGAAAGAGGCAGAGGAAGAGAATTAGAAGATGTGAATGTATGAGAAGTTCAAACAGGTATCGTATCTATCACCTTGTGGTAAGAAAAAAGAAAAAGTAACGAGTTGAATTGTTGACTTCTTGTTGGTAAGTACCACGACTGTTGGTAATTATCACGATTGGATGCTATGTTAACATTGTTGTTTGGTTGTCCCACATTGCATATCATATACTACTTCAGTTATCTAAATTTATGCCCGTTTTTTTTTTTTTTTGGTTATCAAAATTATTTTTATTTTTCTATTTAGTAAAAGGAAAGAGTTTCTATTTTTTTCAATGATGGAGGGAGTACTTTTTTAGCCCAATGTGGAGATTTGTTATTTGGTCGTTGTGATTTGCTTCTCATATACTTCTATTTTAGCCTTGGCATCGATAAATAGGTTGCCCTAGGTAGCAGGCAACATGTATCAAAATTGCAAATACAAGTAGCTTTGAATTATTTGTGGTTTTTTTTTGTTTTATGTAGAGGTTTTATTTAGACAGGTTGCATGAGGTTGTGAATTGTGGCTCTCAAATTGTTATTCTATTTCATTTTGTATTATCATGTTGATAGTGCAGTTGGTTTTTTTTTTTTCCCATGAATATATAGGTATTTTGGTTGAATCATGTATATTGTTGTATTGGTTATTCTTTTTGTTCTTTTTGACATCGTTGGAGTTCTGCAAATTAATTAGTTTGGACTATAACTCTTATAAATTGATATTAGAGCTCTTGATATATTTGTGGGAAATTTTGTTATCATACAATGACATTACAAAGAAAGTGGTGAAAAGTTTGATAGGAATGTCAATTTTAGAATGTGATAGCTCAAAGTGGAGGTCGGTTATTTTTTTGATGAGATTGGAGTTCCAGTATGTAAATTTCCGGTGTAATATAATATATATCAGGCGAATCATGTATGACAGACAAAATCTGAAGACATCGGAAATTTAGTAGATCACTAGTTTACCTAACGATCATGAGGTCATTTTTTTTTATAACGGTCATGAGGTCATTTTTTTTTAATAATGTGGGAATTCACCGTTGCTATTCGGGTAAACTTTCGGTCGAACTTAATATCCAGCAAATTAGGCCGGATAAGGCAAGTTACGTTGTTTTTTTTTTTTTTTTTAATATGAAGTTGATTTGGCTATTTATAATATTGCAAAAATGTCTATGGATGTTGAAAAGTCAATTTTTGGAGATTAATAGAAAAATATGAAAATCCAATCCTATATTTTACTCTGTTTTTGGAGTTTAGCGTTGTTCCAAAAATAGTGCATCACTGCAGTCCAATTTTATTATTAGGGGTTATTGTGCAATTTTGTCATTTTTGGTATATGATGTATATATATAATATATATATATTTGAAAAGTAATGAGTAATTTTATTGTTTTGAGAATGATTGTTCATTAATTATTTAATAAGAATATATATGTATATATATAATATTTACTCATATATGTTAAATAATTATTTTATATATTTATTTTTCGTATTTAAATTTAAATTGATTGAAAAATTGACAATAATATATGAAATAATTATTTTTTATGTAACATATTAATAAAGTACAAAATTATTCAATGCATAAAAAGTCATTTACATAAAATATGGTATTTGTTGTACATATAATTGCAACGTGTACAGGATGTGGATGGTTTATTATATAGCATTTGTGTTCAACTTGTGGCAGACTAATTGCCATAATTTTCATTCCAGTATTGTCTATAAATATGTTCGAATGCAAATAGAGTTGTTGATTATTTTTTCAACAAAAAAAGTAAAATTTGAAAAAAATGAAATTATCTTCGAATTTGATATATTTAGTGCATGAGATTAGTAATTTCTAAACACTGTTGGATACATAAAATTACAGACTGGAAAATAAAATGGTGATCCCCAAATGCAATTCTCTATTTGATGTCTATTGAAGATGATTGAAGATAAAAAATCCGCATCCTTAAATATTCCTTCAAGAAAACGTTTCAGAACCGTCGCCAACAACCGCCGTCAACCGCCCACAATGAAACGTTTTGAAACGTCTGGGCGGTTACGGCAACCGTCCACAAGGTCCTCCTTTGTCGACACGTGTCTTACACCGTCTCGCCAAACGCTTCTACCAATTCCAGAACTCAACTGGCCTGACCGACCATTCCAGAGACTAACTGGTTACTAGACCAAACGACTTATTGGTCGCCCATCAAGCGACCAACATCTGATCTCTCCAGACGATTCAATGGTCGCCCCAACCAAGCGACTTGTTGGTCCGACCACAGACCTTCCGATTTGTTGTTCCAGCCGCAAACCTTCCAACCTGTAGACCATCCGACCTACAGACTTTCCGACCTATGGATCATCCGACCCGCTAACCAAACGACCTGCCCATCCGACCACGGACCTTCCGACCTGCCTATCTGACCGAGGACCAACCGACCTACTTATCCGACTGCGGACCAACCGACCGAGGACCAACCGACCTGCCTATCCGACCGCGGACCTTCCGACCTGCCGATCCGACTGAGGACCAACCGACCTGAGCGCAAATTTTTCTCATTTTCCATCCGACTTCGTGTCTGACTTCCTTTAAGATCCTGCTATCCTTATTTTTATTATTATTATTACTTTTTGTGTATAACATGAATAAAGCATACTATTTTATTACTCTCTTCGTCGTATATAATTTGTCTATATTCTTTTATTTTTATTTATTCTATGTAACTTGTCCTTTTTATTTTTGAAAATATAATTATGCACTTTAATCACAATTTTAAATTTTAAATTTTATAATTTTTTTAATTTTAATTAAACTATTTATTTATCTTAATCTATAATTATTTTTACTAAATAATAATTATTTTTACTAATACACTTCTTAATTATCTACCGATTATACTTTAACTAAATTTTTGTATCTACAGTAATATGACCAAAATATATGGGACGGAGGGAGTCTTATTTTTTTTTAATGACGTGAGAATTCGCAACCGTTATCCGAAATTGCACATTAGATAAACTTCAATTGAATTAATATCATGCGCACTAGTCCGACAAAAATAAGTCATACTAAGCGAATCATGTATAACAGGTGTGACTAGGCATCCAGGGTTTGAAGCTAATACTATCTTTGATTATTTATAGTTTATTGTAAGTTGTCTTATCTTTATAAATGTATACATAATATAATACCCACATATGATTAATTGTTTTTGTCCATTTCATTATAGATAACTTTTTTAATAAATTTATTCATCTTAAATATATATAAAAAAAATATAAATTTTAATTTATTAAATTTCTAATTTTGTATTTATTTAATTTTTTTTATTTTTATATCTTTTTGTAATAAAGTAAATTTTTATATTTTTACTAATTTACTTATTATACTTTCTCTGTCCTATGTCAATTAACCTTCACAATATTTAGATAATAATATTTAATTAGTTAATAACAGTGAGATGTTATATTATTTTACTATTTTGTATATAATTAATAATAATAGTAATTTTAAAATAAATTTAGTATATATGATTAAAAATAATTAGAATATCTTAAATTTGTGAAAATTATATTGCAAAAAAGAAACGTTTAGTTTTGAATGAGTACTATATGTAATATTATATGTTAAGTAGTTAATTAATTTATATTTATTAAATATATTTTAATTTAATAGTTTTATTAAAAAAATAGAAATTCATGAATTATTATAAAATAATAAAAAATATATATAAATTAAGATTGGACCGAAGAAATATAACACTATCATATTTATTAAAAATAATAATAAAAAAAAGAAAAACCGTTCGCAAGAGGGAATACTTACGGGTGGACACAGTTCGGATATTGCAGATATGTAGTTATTTGATATCCGAATTGAACAAATATTTGAAATCGCAAATTGTATTCGAATCGAAAATATTTACAAATAATCAAATCGAACCTAAATTAAAAAATATACATATTAGAAAAAATTAAAATTCTAATTAAATAAAAATATTTACAAATATTTCAAATATTGGAATCAAAATCGAACCTAATATAATTATTAATATAAAATATGATAATATAAATATATTCTGTTTGATTAGCTAAACTGAAAAAATATTAAAAATTCAAATCGACCAATTATTAAATATGAAATATTTGTATCCAAATCGAATTTGCACAATTACCTTATAATTCAATTGGGTTCAATTGGGTTCGGCGGTTTAGGGTTTAGGGGGTGTTTGGGAAAATCGTTTTGAAGAGCTTTTAGCTTATTGAACAATGTTTTAGCTGTTTGACCGGTCAAAATTTAGGTGTTAGGTAAATTAGATTTTTTAAAGAACTTTTTGGACCTAAAAAGCTAATTTTTAAAAAACTCATCTACAACGATTTGATTTGAAAATTTTTTTTCATTTTAATTTTGATTATTCCTTATTTACCCTTAAAACTTAATTATTTATTTTTTTTACATATATTTATATTTTTATAGCAGTATTTATTAATTATTTTTAATATATTTAATTTATTAAATTATATTTTTATTTTTGTAAATTTAAAATAATAATTATTATTAATTATTAGATATAAATTATTTTATTTATAAAATATATAAAATTTTAAAACTAAAAAAAATAGAAAAAATAAAAATTATTAATTTATTTATATATATTAAAATAATAATTAACATAATAAAAATATATATACTAAAGATTTATCATTTTATATTTTACATAATTTCAATAAAAAATTATTATTTTTTAATAAAAATAATTTTCTCAAATCTAAATAATAAAATAAAAATAATTATTTTATAATATTTTTATAATTTTTAATAATTAATAAAAAAATTCTTATAAATTTTAAATCAAAATGAACAACATTAAATATTTTAAAAATAATATATCAATATCTTTAATAATTATTTTATGTATAAATCAGTTAACCGCTAATTTAATCAGCTAACAACTAAAAAAATATCAACTAATTATCAAACGGACCTAAGAATAATTATATTTTAAAATTCAGCATGGTCGAATATAAATTCAGCATACATCCTAACAACTAAAATTTAATTATTTATAATTATATTAAATTTAATAATATAAATTAACATATTTTATCATATGTATTATTTCAGAGCATTTGATCTCCTACCTTTCAAATTAACGACAGCACTACAAATTCCTCGGACTATCTTGTACTGGAGCCTGGAGGTTTTTGTTTTTTGGCTGGAGGTGTGAATTTGGAGATCAATGGAAGAGGAGGAAGCGCGTGTATCGGTACGAAGTTTTCTTCCCACTTCGTTGTGCACATTTACTCGGTTCCCATCGAAGATCCGCGGATTTGCAATGGCAGGAATGCAATTGGCGTCAATTCTGTCTAACACATCACCATCTTTCATCCTTCAATTCTCTCGGAAATTTCGCCAAGTTCAACTGGATAATTGTTTGCTGTTGTTTTATGCAAAAAGACGACAAAATTTCAGACCAAGTCAATGTCAACTGGTATTATTATATTACGATTTCACTTCGGCGTATAGAATTTAAGGATGCAGGCGAAGAATCCGATCAATCATTCGATTAGATGCGAATTTTTTAAACATGTCTGCAATCTATGACAATTGGGAGAGACTGGTTGCAGCTGCTGTGAAGAAACAGCAACTTTGGGAGCTATTTCATGCTGCTTCCAGAAGCCCTAGCATCCTCTCAGAAGCATCCGATTACAGTTCGAGTTCTCGACGGGATTGGGGGTGGCTGGAACAGCCGCCGAAGCTCGTGCTCCTATCCGATTTCAGCCCTACATTTGATCTGAAAGATTTGTCTACAGCTTCTGTTGAGCTACTGGGTAAAGGTACTTTTGGTAGTTCATATTCTGCCATGATGGGCAACGGTGTGAGAATTGTGCTGAAGAGGCTGAATTTGGGTGATATGTCTGAATTGGATTTCAAGCGCTATGTAAATGTTATTGCAAATGTCAGGCAGGGAAACGTTGCACCGTTACGAGGTTACTATGCCTATGGCGATGAAAGGATATTGCTGTATGATTATTACAGAGAGGGGAGTGTGTATGCTCTATTGCACGGTATCTCTACCTCTACTTTTAATGGATATTTCTTCGATGATTGAAAATGGATATAAGATATCTTATTTAGTATGCATGATCTGTCTGTATTTTACTCTTTGTTTCTCTCAGTTTCTTTACAAATTGTTTGCTGATTGTGAATTAGTTTAGCTCTATATGTTCGCCGGCTTACAATCTTCACACATGATGTTACGTATAATTAACATTCCGGGATTGTTCTATGGTATGGGGTTAAATAATAGCATTTTTGTTGGTGCCCTTTTTCGATGCCCTGTTAGTCAATAGGTTGTATTTATATGGATTAACATATAATTAACATTATGGGATTGTTCCATGGAATAATAGCATTTTTTTTGTTGTTGGTGCCCTTTTTCGATGCCCTGTTAGTTAGTAGCTTGTATTTTTACGAATTTACATATAATTAACATTCTGGGATTGTTCCATGGTGAGGTTAAATAATTAATAGCATTTTTGTTGTTGCCCTTTTTTGATGCCCTGTTAGTCAGTAGCTTGTGTTTATACGAATTTACATATAATTAACATTTTGGTATTGTTCTGTGGTGTGGATTTAAGGTGCCCTTTTTCGATGCGCTGTAAGTTAGTAGCTTGTATTTCCCCTCTGATTGCAAATGCATTGTGGCAAATGCTATACCTAATTCGTGTTCTTTCCTGAGATGCTTCGTAGTATAGGAATATGAACAATCTTGCATTTTATCTTGCTTGCAGGAAAAACCGGCGTTCATTATTCTGAAGTGAGCTGGAAAACGAGGCAACAAATTGCAATTGGTGCAGCAAGGGCTATTGCAGCAATACACAAGAAAAATGGCGGGAAGCTTGTCCATGGAAACATTAAATCGTCGAATGTATTTCTTAGTCCACAGGTATATTGCTGTGTGTCAGACCTAGGCTTGGCAAACATGATAGAAACGATGTTCATGCCAAGTGCACGGTGCTATGCGCCAGAAATCAAGAACAGTAGAGATGTTTCACAAGAATCAGATGTCTATAGCTTTGGGATTCTGCTACTTGAGCTTCTAACAAGAAAGCCGGCAATGCATGTCCCCGGTGGTCCCGAGGCTATTGACCTTGTCAAGCTGGTTAGTTCTGGAAGGACCTCCAAAATTTTCGATTCATATCTATTGCAGAATCCTGCCATAAAGAATGATATGATTGAGCTGTTGCAAATAGGAATGAAATGTGCCACAAAATCGATAAAGAAGAGACCTAAAATGTCTGAAGTTGTGAAGATGTTGGAGGTTATCATTGAAACTAACTCAATAAGCCGTGCTCCTCCGGGTAATGACCTCATATTTCTGATGGATTTTCATCCCAGATTTGATCTTGACGAATTGTTAAGAGCTTCTGCTGAGGTTCTTGGGAAAGGAACATTTGGGACTGCTTACAAAGCGAAAATAAACGATGAAAGCATAGTTGTTGTGAAGAGGTTGAAGGTCATGCCTGTTACATTCGAGGCTTTTCAGGAGCACATGGAGGTCTTTGGAAGAATGAATCATAAAAACATTGCGGACGTAGTGGCGTATTACTATTCGAGTGAGGAAAAGCTCGTAATTTATCAGTACTACGACGACACCAGTGTGTCTTCCTTGCTACACGGTACATAGAAATCTTCTTAGCAAACAAGTTTTAAATTTGGTTCGACTTGGCTGGTCGCTCGATGTTTCCTTGTTCTTTGTCAGATAATTGGAATAAGGTTCCTAAGGGTGTGTTTGCTTGGGGCTTTGAATTTTGAGTTGAAATTTGAATAGTAAAAATTTTGAATTGGACTTAGTTGTATGATGTGATATAAATAGGAGTTGATACAATATTTTGAATTAAAATTGATTTTTAGTATAATATAAAAAATGAAAAATAAGTTTTTGATTTGATGGTTTTGGTGGAAAAAGAATTGATGAATAGTGGAATTTGGTCACTTTGATGTTTCCTTCCTTTGTTTGTGAGATAATTCGATCAAGTTTTCTTTAGTTTTCCTGTGTCCTACTCTGGTTTGATATTGATTTGTGAATTCGAACATCTAATGATAGGAGCATACATAAATATGTGAAAAGAACATCAAATTTCTTGCAACAAGCTTGTCGAATTCTGCATTATTGATACATTTGAATGCATTTTTTGCTACTCTACAGAGTCATATAGAAGTGCTACCATAGACTGGAAGACTCGACTCAAAATTGCGACGGATACAGCAACAGGGATCGCTCACATCCACGCAGAAGATGATGGGAAGCTCGTACATGGAAATATTAAATCTTCCAACATCTTCTTCACTTACAAAGCTATTGTGGCCGATGCCGGATATCCTAAACTTTTTGATCCTATAAACCTGTCCACTAGGCATTGGGCAGTCCACGCCCCAGAAGGCACCAACACCGGGAATCTGTCCCAGGCGTCTGACATCTACAGCTTTGGGGTTCTTCTGGTCGAACTCTTATCAGGTTTACCAATGGTGGAAACTCTTAAGAAGGAAAACTTGGGTTTCCCACTTCTTACATGGCTTTTGTCTCTTGCTCGTGACGGCGAATGGATCAATGAAGTCGTCAATAGAGATTTTTTATGGTATCAAAATGAGGAGGAGAAGGTAGAAATGATACAACTTCTGCAAATAGCAATGGATTGCCTCGACAGCAATCCGCAGCGCCGGCCTGGGATGTCTCGGGTGGTGGAGATGCTTGAGGACATCAACGGCGGCGGCGGCGGCGGTGGTGGCGTAACGGATAATGAGTTGAGATTGGTAGATGGTGTGGATGAAGAAAAAGAGCCATCCATTGAGTCAAAGCTGGAAGAGATACTGGAACTTCTGTTGCTGCCCACTCTTATGCACTAAATAGAGGTACCATTCTACTACTACTGCCTTTTAAGTTCAATTTGGTTTGTAAGATTTGTGATTTATTTTTTTTTTGTTTGCATAGTTATTTGATTTGTAGTTTTGTGATAATTTATAGTATATTTGATGCAAATAAATTAGTTCTTTGCCTCTTTAGTTGTGTTTGATTATTAATTTGTTTGTTTGCATAGTTATTTGATTTGTAGTTTTGTAATAATGTATAGTATATTTGATGCAAATAAATTAGTTATTTGTCTCTTTAGTTGTGGGTGCCTCGCTGCATGTTTCAAGTTCAGTAACATGGTGAATCAATTTTCACTACTAGATTGCTTTATTTTATAGCATTATGGTTCATAGTGATCGGAGCATGTATTAAGTTCAGCACCATGCTGGATTAAATTTTTCTATTAGATTGCTTAATTTTTTAATCTCATGGTTCATAATGATCGAGACATTTTTTTAGGTATTGTATTAAAATTATTATTATAATTTTTTTAATTAAATAAATCAATAACATAAATTGTGTATGATATATTTTGAAATAAGAATCATTCTAAATTATTAAAATATGATACATTAAATTTTTAACTTAAATATTTACAACCAAAGTAGTACGATATTTATAGCCCAAACATATGCTCCCGACCAGGCAAGAATATGATATAAATCAAACAATATGTTAAGAAATCAAACATTGTGAAATTTTATAAATCTAAATATTTATATAATTCAAAATTTACATACTTTGGATTGAAGGAAAGAAATTTTCATTATATATGGCCATCTTAGTTGTTTCATCTTTTGTAGCATTGTTTTGTTTTTTTTATGACGTGAGAATTCGCAACCGCTATTCGAAAATACGCATTGGATAAACCTTCGGCTAAACTTAATATCCTGCAGACTAGACACTACGGGCAAGTTATGGTCATACGTCCAACATCCACACCACCGGACCATCCCAGACAAAATTGTCTGATTCCATTTTGTCTGCCGTAAAAAAAACAAAAAAGTAAAATTATAATTTAACTATAAAATTAAGAACAGAGATGACACGAAGTAAATAAAGGTATTTTAGCACTTTAGATTGATAGATAGAGAGTGATAAAGAAAAAAATATTTAAATAGAAAATAAAAAAAAAAATTTTGTATTTGAAAATGAATATGAAATTGTGTTAAGAATTAGAGATTATAAATATTAAATAAAAAGGATTGAAATATGAAATCGTAAACACATACTATTGTTTTCTCAGAATCGTTAGCGTTTTCAGTTGCAAAACTTCGTCTGCTGCCACAACGCCGCTGTCAAGTGTCGACTTGATCCGTCGGAAAACCGAAGATGATGGTGGATCTGAGCTCCTTCTCGGAGGAGAAATTCGACCCAAAGAAATGGATAAACACCGCGGTACAGCAGAGGCACCCGCAGGAACCCGTAGAGAAGCACCTCGTGGATCTGGAAATGAAGCTGCAGATGATGTCGGAGGAGATCGCCGCTTCCCTCGAAGAGCAGAGCTCCGCCGCACTCCTCCGCGTCCCCCGCGCCTCTCGAGATGTTCTCCGTCTTCGAGACGACGCGTTTTCTCTCCGCTCCTCTGTCGCCAGCATCCTGCAATTCCTCAAAAAGGTATTCCGATTCGGTCTTTATCTACCTGTGATTTGATGCATTACCAATGAGCAATGGATTTCCGTTTATTTTAGCTCCAATTAATGGTAGATCCTTCCGATTGTAGTTCAGTAATTTTGCTAGTCTTTGCTTAATTGAAACAAAAGGAAGAATGTTTCTGAATTGCTACACAGTTCAGTTATTTAGATTTGAATACGATATTCACATTGTTGGATAGTATACTTTCTTCCTGTATTGATCCAGAATTCGATACTGTTTTCTGAAATTTGGAATGAGTTTGATTATTTGAAGTTAGTGAATTGAGAAATAATTTACAAAATTTTTAATTTTACATATGAAGATTTAGAGGCTTGTGCAGTGTAATAGTAAAACCATGAAAGGCAGTCAATTCAAGAATTTGCCTGTATGCAAACAGCATATATAGTTTTTTGATTATCTGGGATTTGTTATGTGTTCTAAGAAAGTTTTTAATGTCTTCATACAAAGGATTAGAGCACAGTTGTGAGGTTATATAAATGAAGATGGTCATATTGATGATATTTTTTGTCTATACCACGTGTTCTGCAGGCTGAGGGATCTTCTGCAGAGTCGATTGCAACCCTTGCCGAAGTCGATACGGTCAAGCGAAGGATGGAAGCTGCATATGAAACATTGCAGGTTGTATACATCCCACCCAAAAGTATATATTTTGTTATTTTCGTTTGTCACACACAAGTGTATACATTTCCTATTATAATAGAAGTGTTCTCTCACTAATACCAAAATACTTTTAATCTTTATATAAGTTACAAACATATTATTTTATATAGAAAATACAAAGGCCAAAATCTATCAAATATTCTTACACACTTCATTTGTCAATAAAATAATATTATTTCTTAATCTGCTCTACTACTACTCCAAAAAAAAAAGAAGCAAATGTATACATTTGGCTATGACTGAGGGAGAAGATTCTTTTCAGTTGTGATGTAGTTGTCTTGCATGTTACTTCTCTAGTTTTGTGTTTGGTTGGTGAAATTCGCTTCCGATTTGGATCAGGATGCAGCCGGTTTGACACAGCTAAGCTCTACCGTGGAGGATGTCTTTGCTAGTGGGGATCTTCCACGGGCTGCAGATACACTTGCAAATATGAGACACTGTCTGACTGCTGTTGGGGAGGTGTAATTTTTTTTTTTTTTTTTTTTTTTTTTTCTGAACTAGTGGTCAATAGGTATCAATTTGTCACTGCAAATTGGCTAAATATTGTGATTCATCATTTTATGATTATCAGGTTGCTGAATTCGCTAATATAAGGAAGCAACTCGAAGTTCTAGAAGATAGACTCGATTCAATGGTACAGCCTCGATTAACAGATGCATTGAACAACAAAAAGGTAGTTTGCTTAACCCTCTTTGATGATTTACCAATGCTTTTGTTTACTGACTGTTCGGGGGTAATGGAATGTTTTCTGTTTCTTATAGGTAAATGTTGCTCAAGAAATGCGGGAAATTCTTATTAGAATTGGGAGATACAAGTCTTTAGAGAGTTACTACACGAAAGTCCACATCAAATCCATAAAGAAGCTATGGGATGATTTTGATTTGAAGCAACAATATAATAAAATTGCCAATGAGAAGCATGAAGCAGAAAAGAACTCGAGTAGCTTTGAGTCACAATCAAATCCTCCAGAGTTGTCATTCCCACGGTGGTTACCAAGTTTCTATGATGAGCTCCTGCTTTATCTTGAGCAAGAATGGAAATGGTACTTTTTGCATCAATATGTATATATATGTTTTTTCCTTCAATATATCAGTATTGTTGTTCCCTTGATCCCACTCATGTTGTCATATACACTATTTTTCTATCAGTTCATCCAGAATTTCTCTATAGCACGGTTGCATATTTCTTTGTAATTTAAAACCTGGAATATATTAAGCAATTGAAAAACTTAATAATGACTTTCGGAGCATGCAACATTTAGGTTTGTGAATCATTTTCCTTGTTGTTTTTGGCATTCCTGATTTTCTTTGCATGTGGAATAACTTATCCTGGATAACCCGCACCAAGGTTTATATGATGGATATCATGTGTTGCTTTATTTAGATTATTAAAAAGGAGAATGTTTTTTTAGTTTTTTTTTTTAAGTAAAAAAAGATTGAATTTTGTTAGACCATCAACATGGCACAACTATCTGCTGCTATAGATTATCCACTCATCTTTGTAAACTTTCTTGTGCAGGTGTATACTTGCTTTTCCTGAAGATTACAAAACTCTTGTTCCCAAATTGTTAGTTGAGACAATGTTGTCTATCGGTTCAAGTTTTGTGTCCCGTTTAAATCTTGCAACTGGTGATGTTATTCCGGAGACCAAAGCACTGGCCAAAGGTTATCCCATTCTTCCTTTCAGATATCTTTTGAACTACTGAGTAGCTTCAGATCTTTTCTCCTTTTAAGGATTGAGAAACCTTGCATCGTGTTATATATAAATATATATGCATGAAGGATTATAATTAATTTTCTCCAATCATTAGTAATCCTTGGAAAAGAAAACAAAACTGAAAACAAGAAGAAAACTAATGACACATTTTTATAGTCTCCATAAAGAAAACCATTGATATGTTATAAGCCAGAATGGGCTAGAGTTCATTTCGCTCTTGGTTTCAGGTATATTGGACATATTATCGGGGGATTTGCCTAAGGGAGTCCAAATTCAGGCCAAACATTTAGAGGCTCTGATGGAAATTCACAGCGTAACAGGGAGTTTTGCTAGGAATATTCAGCATTTGTTTTCAGATTCAGATCTTCATGTTTTGTTGGACACACTCAAGGCAGTATACCTTCCATACGAGACATTTAAACAAAGGTAAGCACACTTCTGTTGCAATTGCAAAAATATTTCCAGTCAATGTGGCCGATAGTGATTGAATACACAATTCTGATTGTAGCTTAAACATTATATAATACTGATGATTTATAACTCTTTGAACCCCACGTCAAAACCTTTTAACTAGGTTCATAAATGAGCCGTTTTTTTGGCAGTTTCCGTTGTGGGTGTTGAATATTTATTTGACAAAAGATGCAATGATATGCCAAAGACCTTTTAGTTGAAGCTTTCTAGTTAAATAAGGTCTCTAACAAGACTATGTTCTTCACATTATGCATCTTTTATACGCACACAAGCTAGTATTTTCCTTATTAATCCAGTCATGTGAAAATAATTTCGTGTGTCATTTCCTTCCTAGATATGGGCAAATGGAGCGTGGCGTCCTATCTGCGGGTATTGCTGGTCTTGACCTTAGAGGTGTTAGTACTAGAATTATTGGTGTCCAGGGAGTTGAGCTCAGTGAAACAGTTCGAAGAATGGAAGAGTCCATCCCACAAGTCATTCTACTGCTCGAATCTGCTACAGAGAGATGCATTAGCTTTACTGGTGGTTCTGAGGCAGATGAGCTGATCCTTGCTCTCGACGATGTTGCATTACAATACATCTCCAATCTTCAGGGAATCCTGAAATCTCTGAGAACTGTATGCGGAGTGGATGTGGCAGCAGACAGCGTTGGATCAAAGAGGGAAACAGGATCAGACAGGAAGGAATCAGCTTCGCATTCTCGGAGAGGTGATTTCATGTCAAATGAGGAAGAATGGTCGTTCGTGCAGGGTGCTTTACAGATACTTACAGTGTCAGAGGGCTTGACAAGCCGAACATCAGTTTTCGAAGCTTCCTTAAGGTCTACTCTTGCTCGCTTGAGCACAAATTTATCTTCGTCTCTTTACAGTTCGAGTCTCAATCAGAAACAATTTCATGTGGATGACAATGAGAGCGGGAGGCTGCCTACCGCCGGAAAAGCTTCCCTGGATGTCGCCGCTCTCCGCCTTTTTGATGCCCCTGAAAAGGCTCGAAAACTTTTTAACCTCTTGGAGCAGGTAGGCCAGATTACACAAATCTGTTCGATTTTTATTTATTTATTTATTTATTTTCTCACAACAGCCCTCTTCATTTCTTGCAGTCAAAAGATCCCCGATTTCATGCCCTTCCTCTCACTTCTCAAAGAGTTGCAGCTTTTGCGGATTCAGTCAATGAACTAGTTTATGATGTGCTCATATTGAAAGTGAGGCAGCACTTCAATGATTTGTCCCGTCTGCCCGTATGGAATTCTATCGAAGAGCCAAGTGCCTTCCCCGTCCCAAGCTTTAGTGCTTACCCTCAATCGTACGTGACCAATGTCGGTGAATATCTTCTCACTTTACCCCAACAACTGGAGCCCCTTGCTGAGGGCATTTCCAACATCGAGGCCAATGCGGAAGAGGCACAGTTCTTTGCAACCGAATGGATGTTCAAGGTAACCCCCGAATCTCAACTGTTTTAGCTGCAAAGATATGCACCAATTTAATTAAGTTTAACACAATGCATCAGAGATAGAGCTGACAAAAACTGACACAACACGAACCCGATACAAGATAATTGGGTTTGGGTTAAAGATATCAACCAGACTATGTATACGGGTTGACGGGTCGGGTTAGGGTTGATGCTCTCAACTCGAATCCGATTCGACAATCCGATTATAATATATTAATATCAATTTATATATGTTATATATGTAAAATAATTCTAATTTAATAATTAGCCCATTAGTTTAAACTAAATTGAATTTTAAATAATTGAACTTAATTCATTATTCACATTATACTAGAATTAACAAAATTAATATAACACGTCAACATGGACAAATAATTTAATTTAAATCAAGAATTTGACTTAATTATGTATACGAGACAATACGAATCCGACACGCTAATAAACGAGTCGGGTTAGGGTTGAGTTATTTAACTCGTTTACAGTATTCAACCGAAAATCGATCCGTTGTCAGCTCTAATTAGAGTATATACATTTATGTAAACTTTGCTAATGTCGTTGTAGAGGTTAGTTTAATGGTATTATGTTATTTGTAGGTTGCTGAGGGAGCAACTGCTCTTTATATCGAGCAGCTTCGCGGAATCCAGAAGATAACAGATCGTGGTGCTCAGCAGTTATCTGTCGACATTGAATACTTGAGCAATGTGCTCTCGGCTTTATCAATGCCCACCCCGCAGGTTCTTTCCACATTCCAAACATGTTTTTCATCGCCATTGGATCAGCTCAAGGATCTTGTAAAATCAGATTCCGAAAATCAGCTTGATCTGCCAACAGCTAATCTTGTCTGTAAGATGAGAGGTCTGAGGCTCGAATAGGAGCCATTTTTTATTCTCTGGTTAAGTCTTTAAGGAGTTCTATTCAACTGTGATTGCGCAACATGCAGTTCATACAATATCGAAACAGGCAATCTCCCTCATTCGGGTAAGCTCCAAACTCTGCACTATCTGATAATTACTTATAGTGTTTCGATTATATGTTTCTTGAACGTGCAATACATTCTCGCGATTCTGCCTATACTTAGAATGTCTGACAGATTCATTATTGAGATATTATTCCTCCTGCATATAGTCGAGATTTTTTGAATCGATACGTGGAAAGGCTGTTTTACTTGTGTTACTTTGAATTTCCTGAATTTTATGGCTACCCATTGTCTAAATTTCATTGACTATGCTGTAGGAATTCCCAAATGGTATGTCTTTCATTTACGAGCTTTTTAAGTTTCGTTTTATGACATGAGATGAGCCTCCCAGTCATTTTTTAGATTATTTTGAATTTATTTTTATTTTTTAAAATAGAAAATGATGAATAGATTGTTATAGATTATTATTATTATTATTATTATTATTATTATTATTATTTTGCAAATGTAGATTGCATTGTAATCTTTCATTGAATCTTCTATATGGTGATGTTAAAGAGAGAAGGAAAAAGAACCATACACTGGTAACTTCTTTTAAGTTTTCACTATGTAAGAAAATAGATTGAGATATCTGTAAAGATCGAATTAGACCCACAAATAAATTTGTATTTTACTTTCGTACGAAAAAATGGTATACAACAGAGTAAATGTTAATTTACATTACTCATAAAAGACAACGAAAACTCTAGAATGAACTCTATCATCCACCGCACTTTACACAAAATGCGGTTCGGTCCAAATAGCAGTTTAGATATTGTATTTCTTATGTCTCAAAAAAATATTTTTATTTTGCTATTTTTTTTTTTTTTTGTTTCGAAATAATAGTTTTATTTTTATTTTTGATAATTAGTTTTCCACTTTTTTTTTTTTTTAACAAAAATATCTTTATTTTTGCACAATAATTACATAAAGCAGAAGTATTTTGGTCTTTTAGAAATACTTTTACACCTGGAGAAAGTATCATTTATATTAATATAATATAAAAGACAAAAATATATCATATGCATCGATTCAAGAGTTCAGAAAGCACACATTTTAAATGTAACATATGGTCTTATTTCACAGAGCATGTGCTATCTGAAATTTTTATCGGTATTGTTTGGAAAAATCATCAACGTGACCGCCGCCCACAATAATTTGGATTGTATGGGTGGTCAAGTTAGTGGGATGGCTAATCACTGCAAGGTTATTGGTTCAAATTTTGTCGATATTTATTAATGTAAAATTTTTTTTTGTTAACTTGTGGCTATGACGGCATATCATGAGTTCAAACGCTATTTATACCCTTGTAGTTTTTCAATTGATATAGTTTGTAGTTAGTGTAGTAGAGTAGCTGAGTTCAAACGCTATTTATATCCTTGTAGTTTTTCAATAGATATAGTTTGCAGTTAGTGTAGTAGAGTAGCTGGTGAATGGTGACTGCAAGATCATCGGTTCAAATCCGCAGACATTTTTTGAGCGGAGTCTATTACATATGATTTGTCTAGTATAATTTTTATAAAACTTTTTTTTTTTTATTATTATAACGTGAAAATTTACAATTGTTATTCTTTATTCGGGGTAAACTGTCGGCTGAATTTAATAACCTACAAATTAGGCTCGATATGACGAACAGAACCAATGGTTTTTATAGAACTTGATAAGAGAGTTTATGGTTTTTACATCATAAATAATAATAAAATAAAGTAAATAAATAAATAAAATCCATGACCTTCCATTAGAATTTGGTGGCTCTCAAAATTTCTCCCTATTGTGACAAAACCCAAAACAATTTCTAACCAAAAAAACAATCCAACCACACACCAATTTATCCAAACTTTCCTATGCTCATTTCCCCTTCAATAAGCCCACCATATCTCACTCCCTCCACACTTCCCATTTCCCCTAAACCTAAAATATAGAACAAAAAAACCATGAATGACACAGTAGACAAACTAGTGATCTTCTTGGCCAAAAGAGATGGCATAGACAAGCTTGTCAAGACCTTCCAATATGTCTCCAAACTCCTCCACTGGCATGTCCAAACCACCCACCCTGCCGCCGCCGCGCGCGCCAAGAACTGGGAGCTCGCCTCCGGCATCAGCCGCAAGGCCTTCCGCTCCGGCCGCTTCCTCACGGGCTTCAACGCCCTGAGGAGATCTCCCGGCCCGTTTCCCGCCCTCGCCGTGCTCTCCAACGCCGGAGAAATGGTCTACTTCTTTTTCGACCACTTCCTCTGGCTCGCAAGAATCGGCGTTCTCGACGCCAAACTCGCCAAGACGATGAGCTTCATATCAGCGTTCGGCGAGGCGTTCGGGTATGTTTTTTTCGTCGCGATCGATTGGATTGTGATTAGGGAAGGGGTTAGGGAAGAAAGAAGGATTGTTGGGGGAGAAGGGATAGATGATGAGGGGAGGTTGAAGTTGAAGAAGATAAGGGTGGATAGAGTTATGAGAGTGATGGCTATGGCTGCCAATTTGGCTGATTTGATAATTGCATTGGCTGAGATTGAGCCTAACCCCTTTTGTTGCCATGCAATTACACTTGGGATATGTGGTTTGGTTTCTGCTTGGGCTGGTTGGTATAGAAATTGGCCATCATAAAGATTGAATTTTTTTTTTTTTTTTTTTTTTTGCATTTTGTTATCTTCATGTTATATATATATCATGTGTTTTTGGTTGAATGTTTGGATGTTTTACTGATAATTCACTTGTTTGTAAGTTGAAATGGTACAGGAAATAGATATGTGGGTTGTGGAGAGGATAGGAATTGTGTGTGATATATATATATATATATACACTAGCGCTTAAACCTGTGCTGTGCTGCGGAATTATCATATTTAAATTTAATTATTATACAATTTTTATTTAATTTTATAAATATTTATAATAAATAAAAATATTATATATAGATATCTTTACTTAAAAAATATATAAATTAGTAATCTAATATATTTATATTTTATTATTTTATTTTTTCTATAAATTGTCATTTTTTATATTTTTTTTTGTTTAATTTTTTTATTTTATATGCGTGAAAACTATATCAAACAATTTTTTTTAACAATATCATTCACTAACACTCATTACGATGTGGAAATATGTCTTAGCTATTTTTCAAGTGCGCTCGAAAGTAAATTTAGAAAGGTTGGAGGTTCGAACCCATGACCTTTATATTATATAATTACATTTAGCATAATATATTTGATTTAAGAATAACAACACAATAAACAAATTATACAACACATCAATGTTAATACAATTTATAGTATACCATATTATATAATTTCATATAGCACAATATATGTTAATTTCAGTGCAATATATAATCGACACAACACATTTTTATTTAACCTATAATATGCTATCAATTTTGTAATAAAATGATAATTGCTTCAAATTAGCTGCTAATTTGGTCAAATCAACACAATATTGATATGTAACATGTAATGTTTAAAATTGTAAGAATACCCTCAAAAGTAATGGTACAATTGTAAATTTTGGTGAAACATAAAACTAGTTTATTAGTGTCTGAAAACCAAAATTGCTAAATTACAAAATGAATACATTGTGCACAATTCAAACACAGATAAAAATGGAATATGGGTGTGTTTATTCGGGGTTCGGATTTTGAGTTGAGATTTGAATAGTAAAAATTTTGAATTTGAATAGTTGTATGATGTGATATAAATAGGTGTTGATGTGATATTTTGAATGTAAAATTGATTTTTAGTATAATATAAAAAATAAAAAATAAGTGTTTAATGGATAGTGTATTTAAAATTCAATCCCCAAACAGACACTTGTTTATGTGCCATGTTGTTGTACATGATACAGAGAATGTGTAATACATTAGTGGCTAGTTTGATGATCAAAGAAAGCCATATTTACATTCTATTAAAACACAAGAAATATATATATATACAATTAGTTTGATTTCAATTTAACTATATAATTATTGCGATCTCCTTTTTTTTTTTTTTTTTGTAAGAATATATTATTTATTTTTATAAAAAATATATTTAGGTTACTATTTAAATAATAAAAAAAGGTGAAAAAAAACATATCCTTTAATATTTATCTATATATATATACATGTATTTTGAATGAGATTTTTGGGACCGTTTATTTTTTTATGTGGTATATTATGTTATAAAATGATTTTTGTTGGATAATACTCCATCCGTCCCACATAATTTGTCTCTATTTTCTATTTTCGTCCGTCCCACATAACTTGTCATTTTTATTTTTGAAAATATAATTATGCACTTTAATAACATTTTAAATTTTAAATTTTATAATTTTTTTTAATTTTAATTAAACAATTTACTTATTTTAATCTTAATCTATAATTATTTTTACTAATACACTTCTTAATTACTTACTAATTATACTTTACCTAAATTCTCGTGTCTACTGTAATACATCCATATTACATGGGACGGAGGGAGTAGTACGAGAGGATGGATCATGGGCTATATTTATTTTTAAAATGTGTGATTGAATGGTATAAGAAGTTGGTTAAAGCATGGCATTTTTTTTTTTTTCATTTTTTTTTATAATAACGCTTTTAATATAATATTTTGGTAAAAGAAATAATATATATTTTTCTAATAAGAAACTATAAATGTTGAATGATGAATTTTTTTAAAAAATAATTGTTAACTAAACACATGTAAAACATGAGTACAAGCTGAACTGTTGAGTAAGTTTATTGACTATGTAATGAATATTCAACCAATGCTTATGTGTTTAACCATAAAAAATTATTGAATTATGATATAGATCTAGAGAAAAATAGGTATTTGATTTGATATTTTTAAAAAAATAAAAAATAAAAAATTGATGAATAATACAAATTTGAAAAAAAATTGATAAAAGAACACACCTCTGAGATATTTTAATAATAGGGGTCCGGCCGAGAGTTTACCCAATGCGCACTTTCGGGTAGCGGCTGCAGGTTCCGACGTCATAAAAATAATAATAATAATAATAGGTCAAAAGTGAAGTATGAAATAATATTTAAATAAATAAAATAATAATAAAAATAATTTGATAATTAAATGGAAATTATATTTACTATAAATGAAAAAAAAATATTTATGGACAATTAAATAAAACGATGGACATTTAAGATTTATTCGGTTGTGATTTGAAATTGATTTAAAATAAAATGTTGATTTCAATTTTGATGTGATATTTTTGTTACCCTTATAATATTATTAATAAGAGGTCAAAAGTGAAGAATAAAATGATATTTAAATAAATAAAATAATAATAAAAATAAATTGATAATAAAATGGAAATTATATTTATGAACAATTAAATAAAACAATGAAATTTAGGATTTGTTATGTTGTGATATGATTGATTTAAAATGAAATATTGATTTCAATTTTTATTTATACAGTATTTTTTGATGTGATATTTTTTTAAAAAAATACTAAATTTTTATTAAAAATTATTTTGAATAAATAATATTAATTTTGATTTGAAATAATATAAGAATAAACCTTTAAATTAAAATTTAAAATAAAAAATTTATACAAGCAAACAAACCCAATTTTAGTTCAATTGCTTCATAGCTTTGGGCCTAATTGGGCTTAATTTTTTTTGTGAGTATATCTAAAACAAAATTTTACGGCCGTTTTAGATTGGGCAGCTAGAACGGGTGCAGCACCTATGCGACACACTGGATAACTGCCTCTCTAACCGACCTACAGCCGTCGGCGCTTCCTTAGAACACACACGGTGGACTGTTTTCTGACCAGAAGGGAATTCCATTTCCATAATCTCGACCTCCCAAACAAACCTGCAATTGCGATTTCACGGCAATTCGATGGATTCTTTTCTCGTCGCCTTCACTTGATTTTGATTGCTGAGCTGTTGGTGGTGGCTGGTGACGGATTTTTTTTTTTTTTTTTTGTGGAGTTCTGCATTGTTCGGTAATTTCTCGAAATTGGTTTGATTCTCCGACGATCATCGCCTGAGATTGGAGAGGAAAGTTTGTGGTGAGTGTGATTTACTCAAAGCGTTTGGATTATTTGGTGATTTGTTGATCTCTTTAATTATTGTTGAACAGATCGATGGATGAATTTGGATTGACATTTTTTTTTTTCAGATCTTTGGAAAATGGCGGAGGAAACGAGTAACCCGTCGAGGTACGTTAAATTGACGAAAGAACAAGCTCCGATGGAGGAAATTAATCCCGGCGAACTTAATCAGCCGATTGATGTTCCTCAGGTACTGTGTGAGTGTGAATTGCACTGGCGAATTTCATAGTTGTAAATGTAGGTTTTCTTTACTAAATCTGATCCTAATTTATAAATTACATGTGTTTTTTGATCGAATTATAATTTGATATCACTCTGTGCACTTGTTTTGCCTGCGAAATTGCATTCTGGTGTGTGGTAGTTAAATGATTCTGGGAAATTATGTGTGTATTGATATGTGTCTTGAATTGTTTAGGGTTGTTTTGGATTTTTGAGTGTTCTTGGTTTAGTTTGTTTTCGATTTGAATGAAGTCATGTTTGTTTGGATTTGGTTTGAGTTTGATTTTTTTATTTGAGTTTTGATTTAGGTAGTATTTTGATTAGAAATGCTTATGAACTTAACAACATTTGTTTTGATTTGAAATCAAAACCAAACAAAAGTGGTTTTGGATGCAATTATATATTGACATGGCATAGCGCGAAAAAAATGAAAATGAATGAACGTAAGCATTATGTTTCTTGTTTTCATATTGCCTAGAAACTCCTTAAGAGAGTAACACCTTAATTTGAAATTCATTATGCTTTTAGACGTTACCGAACAAAAGTGGATTGTAATACCTCTTGAAATACATATGGGAGGGGCATGTGCAGGGAATGATCGATTAAATTGTAGACAATAGGAGCAAGAATGAACTTTAGCAGGTCTCGGGACAGTGAATAGTTTGAATTGAATTTTGTTTCATAGGCTAATGAGAAGCATCTGTCCTTGTATTCGATCGGAATCTTTTTGTGCGACATGCTTAGTATGTGGCAGAAGTTTAGATTGTGCTTTCTTGTGGCTCCCTTGCAGTTACATGTCCAGAAATGCCATGAATGTGGACAGCCTTTGCCGGAAAGCTATCAAGCTCCGGCAGATGAGCCTTGGAGTACCGGGATTTTCGAGTGTGCTAAAGATACAGAAAGCTGTAAGTCCTGATCTCATCAATGGAAAATGATCATAGTTTTTTTTTTTTTGCAGTTCCAAACTGAAATGGATGATTGTGTGCATTCGGAATTAATTATTATTGTTTTCCCGTGTTTGTATGAATAATGAGAATGGTTAGGGTGCTCATTAGACAGGATGTAGACAATAGATGATGTGAATTAATACTTCTTAAGTCCCCTAGATATATGCTCAAACTTTGGGGCACGGATTTTAATGTGTGTACTTTTGGTTATTTTTTACTTTTTATAATAAAAAAAATGTGGTATAATTCTTTACTAACAAATAAAACGAAAATATTATTTTACGACAAACAAAAAGAAAGTGAGCACAAACTTAGAGAATAAAAGGAGTACATTATGTGCCCTATAGATTCTTAGCATGTTTATTTTATATATGTGTTGTATTAACATATGTTATATCTTTATATCAATTCTAAATTCTAGTATTGCTATATGGATTGTTGTTATGTATTATAATTGTATTATGTTAATATATACTTTATGCTATCGGTTTATATCTTATTTGTTATCAACGTGGTTTCGACTAATTACAGTCAGCATAGGAATTGCACCTTTAACAAGTCCAATATCCTTAGTCGTCTTGAAGGAAAAATATTTTCTTGACTAGATATGTTTTTGTTTCTACGCATTGTTTGAGCTCGTAAGTTCGTAAATTTGAATAGTCAAGGAGTTCTTTACTTACGTTCTAATCTGCAACAGGCAAGACAGGTCTATTTTGCCCGTGCGTATTGTTTGGTCGCAATGTCGAACGAGTGAGAGACGACACTCCATGGACTCACCCATGCGTATGTCACGCCATCTTCGTCGAAGGCGGCCTTGCCTTAGCCGTCGCAACGGCAGCCCTGAACGGAATGATCGACCCGGGAACTACTTGCCTCATCTGCGAGGGCTTGTTCTTCAGTTGGTGGATGTGCGGCATCTACACCGGCTTCGTCCGCCAGACGTTGCAGAAGAAATATCATCTCAAGGTTTTTCAATCCACATACTCTCAGCTTATTCATTGTTTATAAATTACAACTATGCATGATTCGGTACGGTATATTGAAAATGCTTAATCATATTATATAACCGTATTGAATTCTTCACTATGTTAAAAAAATATTGATATTGTATCGAAAATTAGGTATGACATATATATACATTGTACCATACCAATAATTCGGTATACTAAATTACTCGTACAATATTGGTATATATCATTTCATACCAAAATTCAAAATAATTTTAAAATTTTATGAAAAAACTTAAAAATAATAATTTTGGTATCAATACACTAATTTATCGGTATATACCAATATACTTTCTCTGTCCCGGTGCAAGGTTGTCGTTTATTTTTTGCATGTAAATTTTTTAATATTAGTATTATAATGGGTTGTAGTGAAAAAGACGAAAATACCTCTATTAGTATTGTGTAATATAAAAGTAATGACATTTGTGTAATATAGTGTAAGTTGGAAGGGTATTTATTATGTTACGTAGGTAGTACAATTACTAAATTAGAAAATGGTAACCTTATTTTGAAACGGACGAAAATAGAAAATGACAACCTTTCAATGGGATAGAGGGAGTACTAAAAATATCAAATTATATACCGATATCGTACCGAAAAAATTCGGTAGTCTCATATGATACCAATATTTTTGATGACGTACCAAAATTTTGGTATTATTTCTTTTTGTATGATATGCGCCGTATTTCAATAATTTGATATATTTATTTCCACCTGTGATTGTAACTAACCGTACACGATACCCCTGTGTTGCTTGTTGCAGAACTCGCCGTGCGACCCTTGCATGGTGCATTGCTGCCTGCACTGGTGCGCGTTGTGCCAAGAGCACCGGGAGCTGACAGAACGACTTGCGGACGACACCACATTTGTCCCGACGGCGATAGTCAATCCTCCTCCGGTCCAAACAATGAATGCCAGCGGCAACGATAGCCCCGGCCCGGCATTACCACATTCGACGAATGCGTCGGAGCCGAACCGACCTAACCTCGAGATGCTGCCTTTATAGACAAAGCCAATAATGTGGCAAAAAAATGGTACTGAATGAATGATCTTTTGGACATTATTATAAATTTTGGTTACAACATTGTTTGGAGACACCACAGATGGTTCGATTTTCACTAACTATACACACTACAGCCCATTTTGAATTAATATTTTATATTTGAGAGACATTTAGAAGCGAACAAATGCGTTGCTTGTTAAAAGCGTGTTACTTAATAAGAAATCACAAATGCGACTTCACATATATATATATATATAGGAAAAATTGCAAAAAAAAATAATCACTATATAGGTTTAATTATCATTTTCGAATACTTTTTTCACTTTCGTATTTTAGGACACTATATGTAGGGAAACGGAAAAACACACATGACTATTATGTGGTGTTGCCGCCGGCATTGTATTGTCGTCTGCGTAGACACCGAAAATGTGATGTGAAATTTCAAATTATTTTTAAAAAATTAAATTTTAAATTCAATTTGGTCGGATCGGAGTGTTTTATTTTGAATTTGGTTAGTTGCAATGTGATTCAATTGGGCAAATTGGATTTTAAAAATACATATACTCTCTCCGTCCTATAACAAACAAGGTATCTATTTTTTATTTTAGTCCCTCGTATAACAAAGTATTCATTTCTTTTTTTTATAATAACTGTAGTATCTACTAACATTATAAATACTCTTATAACTTACAATACATTACACAAATGTCATTACATTTATATCACACAATGTTAATAAGGTTATTTTAGTAATTTTTATTTTATTCTTACTAAATCTCAATATAATAGTAATATTTTTAGCAAACGAATATCTAATTATGAGATGGAGGGAGTATATTTTTTAATTTTATTTCTAAATAATTTAAAAATTCACATCATCCCAACATCTACTCACAAGACAACACAACACCGACGACGTCCATGTCTGCGTCGGCAATGCCACGATAGTGCACATGAATGTCACGTGCGTTTTTCGATACCGAATAACAAAAATCATATTCGGAGTTCATATATTGTCCAAATATAATAATTGTAATTTGAGATCATTATTTACAATTTTTCCTATATAATATCTATATATATTGTGCAGTTGCACTGGTCACTGGGCAGGACAGTTATCGGAGTTCATCCGTGGCCTTGGCACCTAAGGCCATCTCCGACCCATCATCTTCATTTATCTTAATTTTACTCCACATAACTCTATTTTTTACTTTTTATTTTTCAAATATTCAATTTTTCCTATTATTTTAAACAATTTTTTATTTTTATAATTTAAATTTTAAAAAATAAAAAAATTTTAAAAAAAAACTAGCGTTTGTCACAGTGCAACACCAAAACTCTAAATTTGGTGCTGGGAATGGCGCTGGATTGAAGCAGCTCGGCGGCAAAAATGGTATTGAAACCCCGGATATGGAGCATGGTTGAAGATGCTCTAAACCCTTGGCTTTCTCTCCATAAGTTTGATTTGATTTGTCCCAAATCATATATATATAATGTAGAAAGCCATTCAATCTCATCAATGCAAATCCAGTTCAATTGGCGCCAACACGAGAGTTTGCATATGTCGGAATTGAAGAAGAAGACCACGAAGAGGTAAGACAAGCGGCTTCGATTGATGTTCCTAGCTGCTATATATGGATGCGGCGGGCTGCTGCAGACAGAGTCGACGGGGCTATAATCCGGTGAAAATTGGTGAATGGAGATAACGATAGGGCTTGAAGACTCTGCAATTGCATGATATAAAGTGTTTGTAATTTGTTTGTGCAGAAGAAGAATAAGAAACACCTATGTCATTGCCACTTAGATATCACTTCAACAACACGTGGAAAATTATTTTTATTTTTATTTTACGAAATATCTTGATAAACTATTCTTTTTTTAATCTGATATCTTATCCCTTTATCATTTTAGAATTTCAAATAGACCTTATCTGAAAATGAAAATAGTCTAACAACTAAAAACTTTTTGGTAATATAGTCCTCCGATGTATCACTGACGTGGTGATGCCATGTCAGCCGCGTCAGCGTCAGCGTCACGTCAGCAACGGTGGACCAGCGTGGCAAGTTCGGAATCGGGGGACCATTTAAGCGAAAAATTTTTATTTGTGAGACTCTTTTCAAATAAAATCTATTTAAAGTCCTAAAATGATAAAAAGAGTTAGATACGAGACTAAAAAATTTTTACCCACATATATATACACACATATTCGGTAAATCCTGATGTTTGTCTGCATCTACTCTACAGTTTTATCTTGTTTGAGTTATGTCATGGTTGCAGTATTTTGCTATTCCCATTTTTGCAAATATTGCGGTCATTTATATGATGAGGGATATAGTCGAATTTAATGGCATTTTCCGGATATTGTTTTGGGCATGAGTACTGAGTAGCATTTTCTCACTATTGTCTTGAATGTGTATTTTTTTCCCCCCCAAATGTTTAAGAACATTGATTCGATATTTGATGGTTTTTAAGTTGATCTTCTTTCAAAAGAGAATGATCTTAATTGTGTTGGTGATTGGATCGTGAAGACAACAATGAAGAAGAAGCTAAAGTAAGTTGTTTTATGTTGGCCTTTGCTGTTAAGTTGCTCCATAAAGACATGCCAATGTCGTTGGAGAGTCTCGTCTGCGGATAAAATAAGTTAATGATGCGCTTTTTTAACAGTTTAAACTTTTATGTGAGACGGTCATTCAGCGCATTCAACAAATGTGATGTTTGTGTGTTTCGATCTTGTTTTAGAGCAAGATTTACCTTAAATTTGCTTGTGTTTAATTACAAAATTTGACATGATCAAACTAAAAGAAAGCTAATAGTAATAGGTTCTTTGTAAGCTGCCATTTTTAGAACATTCTGGCTGGTGAAGCCTATCTATTCAGATTCTACATGTCATATTGAAGAGTTCAAAGCAGTCGATGATGCCAAGATTGGTTTAGTAGTTTGTCTTAAACTCTTAGAGTTCTCTTATGTGTTCTTGTAGATTCTAAAGATGTTAAAATGCTATTTAAAGTTGGTAAATTTTTATTTGAGTTAGATATTTATTTATTTATTTATTTTTATTTTTAATCTATAATGTATACTATACTACAATTTAACGATACTAAAAAATAAAACACTAATAGGCACTTTCTCGTTGTTTCTCAATCATATGATAAAATCTAATACTACATTCGTCAACAAATTATACCTTCAAACATTTGGGTACACGACCGTAAGAAATGACCTAATAGTGTGGGAGGCCATAGATTCAAAAATCCTAACACTTTTTAATTTGACCTGTCATAGAAGACTTATCTAATGAGTCATCTTACTGACACGGTTGGTTGTTACAATTCGCTAAAATTTACTCGGTGCATACTTAACATGTAAATATATATTTTTTTTAGAGCAAAAATTATTTTCGGTCTCATTCAATATCATAATTATCAATTTTGGTCTCATTAAAAAAAATTATCAATTTTGGTCCCACTTAAAAGAAAATTTATCAATTTTAGTCTCAAAATAGTTGACTGAGATTAAATACGGCCGTGTTGGCTTGAACACGACCGTGTTGGATGACTCAGAAGGTGATTGGGCGTCCCAGGCAGCCAACGCGGCCCTGTTGGATGACTAAGAAGGTGACTGAGCGTCTCAGGCAGCCAACACGGCTGTGTTGGATGACGCAGAAAGTGACTGGGCGTCCCAAGCAGCCAACACGGCCGCGTTGAAATCCCTGCACATCTAAACACGGCCGTGTTGCTGCCCGTGTTCCTACCCGTTTCTGAACACGGTCATGTTCTTGCCCATATTCTCAACACAGTCATGTCCTAAGCCATGTTCACGACCATGTTTTCAATATAATCATATTGTATGTCATATTTATTATTATTTTCACTTTTTGGTTAAAATTATTTGGTATATATATTTATAATTCAACAAAAATATTTTTTACAATTATTTTATAATATAAAAAATAATCAAGGAAAGTGACATGGAATGCGGGACAGACAGAAACGGCAATATGGACACTGTAGACACGAGAATTTAGGATAAGTATAATTAGTAGATAATTAAGAATGTATTAGTGAAAATAATTATCATATAATATAAATATTTATAAATTAAAATTAAGATAACTCAATAGTTTAATTAAAATTAAAAAATAAATAAATTAAAAAATAGTGTGTAATTATTTTTTTTAAAAAAAAGTGACATGGGATGCGGGACAGAAACGACAATGTGGATATGGTAAGTGGGACGGAGAGAGTATTATTAAAAATATATAATAATATATTATTATTTTTATATATTTTTAAAATATTAAAAATTGATTATTTTTTATATTATAAAATAATTGTAAAAAATATTTTTGTTGAATTATAAATATATATCAAATAATTTTAACAAAAAAGTGAAAATAATAATAAATATGACCTACAATATGATTATATTGAAAACATGGTTGTGAACATGATCTAAAATATGGTTGTGTTGAGAACATGGACATGAACATAGCCTAGAACATGGCTGTGTTGAAAACATGGACAAGAACATGGTTGTGTTCAAAATACGGATAGCAACACGGCCGTGTTTAGAAGTGCAGGGATTTCAACACGACCGTGTTGGCTACCTGGGACGCCCAGTCACCTTCTGAGTCATCCAACACCGCCGTGTTCAAGCCAACACGACCGTGTTCAGTCCTAGTCAACCATCTTGGGACTAAAATTGATAAATTTTCTTTTGAGTGGGATCAAAATTGATTATTTTTTTTTAATTGAACCAAAATTGATAATTATGATATTGAATGAGATCAAAATTGATTTTTTTTTTTTTTATTTATTTTTTTTTTAACTAAAAGTATAAACATTTTTTTTTTTTAAGACAAAAAAAGAAACAGTAAACATATGCATGAATAATAAATAGAGTATATGTAAAGGTAATATTTATAAATATATATATATATATATATATATATGTTTCCAACCAAAATGTATCCATAAGGAGCCTTATTTTTAGACAAATAATTCCAAAAACGAATATGCGTAGTTATAAACAATTATGAAGATTTTATACATCATTTGAACCACTATTGAGTAAATTATGTTTGAGCAAAGATTAAAAGCGACCTCCAAGCAGAATAAAGCATTTGTCAACTTTGACTTGAGATAATGAGTGTGACATTAGTGTGACATTGTTACACATTATTTTGATTTAAAGGATTAAATCCAATACTTATTGTTATTCTTTTAAAGTTTTATTTTAATTCAAAATTTTATTATTACGAAAACAAAAAGTAAAAAAAATAAAAAATAAAAAACAAAACAAAACAATGAAAAAACCCCATTATGGTTATTAGGATTGCAAATACAAAGAGACCTAAAAAGTACAACATCATTATTAGTAAACTTAGACATAATTCTACTTTAATTATATTTAATTACTATTGAGTAAGACCATGAGAGCAAATTAAGTAAAAACACGGTAACAACTAAAATTTGATGAGAAAAATAACTTCAAATTTCGAGCTTGATGAAAATTTCTCATATATTCTTTCAGTTTCAATCGATTTGTCCACTTTAGCTGAAAATAGAGGTTTATGTACTATGTAATTAGTAAATAATTAAAAAATATATTAGTAAAAATATTATGATATAATAAAAATAATTAAGAATTAAGATTAAAATGACTAAATAATTTAATTAAAATAAAAATTTATAAATTATGAATTTTAAAATGCGATTAAAATATATAATTATATTTTTTTAAAAAAATGATAAATTATGTGAGACAGATAGGATGCTATTATATAATTCACATATTCGTTAAAAAAAAAAAAGAAAAAAAAAAAAAGCTATCATATTCGTAAAACAATTAAGAAATTAATAGCTATCATTAATTAATAGCATTAAAAAATACTAACCTATTCGTGACGACCATATTCATCGCCGCAGCCCTGAGTCCATCGTGAAAATGAAACGTGCTCTCGACTTTCTTCCTCCTAATTACTTTTCATTTCAGCTGCTAGAATTTCCTCATCTATATATACTTACACACGTATATATATATATATACACATGAGTTTGTGTGAATGCTTAAATTAGTTCTTAAAAATTAATTTGGCAGTATCAATTTTAATTGAAGATATGGAAAGCTCACCGTGTCGCCGGCAGCAGCAAGGCGGAGGGAACGGTGGCGGAGACTCGACGCGGTTGCTCCATAGAAAAAGCGGAAGAGCAGCGGCGGCGCCTGTGGTGAATTACAGAACTGAAAAAATTCAGGTCAAGTCTGCGAAGAAGCAGGAATCGGTCGACGAAGCCGGCGGTTTCGTTAGGCTTTTGCCGCGCAGCAGGAGTCACACGGAGATTCCGAGACGAACGAGATCGGGTACCACTTCGCCTTCAGCATGGGCGCTGTCCCCCGGCCGGCAGTCGCCATGGTCATCTCCGGCGCCGACGCCTAAATCTGCGATAAGATCTGAAAATTCAACGAAACAGGAAGCGAAGAGCAGTAGCGGCGGAGGCAGAGGTGTTGGTGGAGTTCTCAAGTACTTTAGGCAGAAGAAAGTCTCACCAGCGCTGGAGGAGGAGTACCACCGGTACCGCGTAGCGTACAACAGGCTATTGCAGTGGCGATTCGCGAACGCTCGAGCGGAAGCGTCCATGGCGGCAGTTAGAAAATTAGCTCAGGTCTCAAATCTCCACCAATTAACACCACAATTTCATCAGTCAATTACACTTTAACCGAATCTCACTGACTGTTGCTTTCGCCAATTGAACTGCAGAAAAGGCTGTGGAACGCATGGGCAAAACTATCCGTGATGAGAAACTCGATGGTGGAGAAGAGATTACGAATCCGAAACAACAAGCACGAATTGAAATTGTACGAGATTACCAAATCGGAACTCAGATTGCTGGAGGAGTGGTCGAGAATTGAGAAGAAAAATACGGAAGCCGTCGGGAGAGTCGTCCGGAAACTCTCCGCCATTTCCGTCTGCCTCCCTCTCGTCCAAAATGCAGAGGTGAAAAATGTAGTATAAATATAACTGTAAATATTATATAGGAATATATATATATATATATTAGTATAATTTTATTTATTTATTTTAATTTTGAAATTGGCTTATTGTTCAGGGGGACACGACAGCCGTCGATGGTGCAATATCGACGGCTACGGAAGTGATGGGCAGCATCACGGAAATGGTACAGAACATGAATTGGCAGGTAAAAAGTTAACTACCTTGTGGGTTCTTACGCCTTAATTTTAATTTTTATTTAAATAATATTTTTATATAAAAATAATACTATCTCGTGCAATTGAAAGGTTATGATTTTTCTAATTTAGTAATTATATTATCTATTTTACATAATAAATACCTTTTTATTTTACAATATATTATACAAATATTATTATTTTTATATTACATCATACTAATAGAGGTATTTTTATTTTTTTTATTACAATCTAATATAATACTAATATTTAAAAATCTACGTACAAAAAGCAAACGCTACCTTATTGTGGGACGAAAGGAGTATATTGTTTATTAAAACTTATATTAACCGAACAACTATAATTTTCGGTTGAAATCAAAATCATATTGAATTACGCTTCAAATTTCATATATTTGGCTCTGTTTAGTTGTAATTTCAATTGATTTAATATAAAATATTGAGTTTGAATTTTTATTTAAATAAAATTTTGATTTGTTATTTTATTAAAATAAATTATACAATATATTTTTATTAAAAATGTGTTGGTTGAACAATTTTTTTTTTTTTTTTTGAAAAGAGTCATTGGAATTTGAGCTTAAATTTGTTTTGAATATTAATTTTAAATTAAAACAATTATTTAGTATATTATATACATGGATATTGATTTTAGGGTGTGTTTCTTGAGTTTGAAAAAAAATTGATTTGAGTTTGATATGAAAATAATGTTTGATGAGATGTTTTGAGTTCAAATAGAAAAATTTAAAAAAATTAGGCTAAAGAAACATACCATAATATTTTACATTTGAAACTAATTTAATAATTAAAAATATATATTTTATGTTATGTCTTTAAAGATATTTATTATTATTATTTTTAAACAGTAACCTACAAACAAATAAAGCTATATATAGATATATATATATATATATGAAGACGGATTTAATTTTAACCCAATCAATACAGATAATAAATATATAATACAATATATAATACATACATTTTTATGTATGATTTATTATGACAAAATATATGTTTTATTACAACCATAGTACTATATAAAAATATACTATGTTGTATATTTTTATTATACACGTTGAATCAATATCATCGATAATATATATATATATATATGTGATCGAAAATGCAATATTCTCTTGTAGTAATTTTGTGATATTTGATTGCTAAATTTGTATATTGACTTTGTATGATTTTGGGAAATATTAGGTTGAGAAAGAGTGTTTTCTGATAACGGAGCTATCTATTGTCCTAAACCAACAGAAACAAATGTTTCAACAATTACAAAAATGTGTTACTCTCGTTGCTTCAATGGCGGTAAGTAATAGTAAAAATATATTACTTCCTCAAATTTTTTGCAATTATTTTTAATTTTGGGTTTATAAATTTTTTTGTAATTTTTTTTTATTTACATGTAATTACAAAAAAGAAGGAAAAAAAAAAAAAAGCATATAAATCTATTTGTGATTTCAAAAACTTGCGGTGCATTTAACTTTCAATTGTGTATATATCAATTATACTTATGAAAGCATATACACTATCCAATATATAATATTAAAATTCATTAAATTTATACAAAAATAAATCGATACATGTAATTTTGAGGTAATGAGTATTTATATTCTCATATATAGTCGGTCATGCCCTAATTGACTAAAATCATATCGATATATAATACTCCCTTATTCGTAAAAAAAATATGTTGATTTGATCAGATACGTATTTTAAAAAAAGTAGATAAAAATATAATTTTTTTTAGTAAATAAAAAGTAGAAAAAAGTTGTATTTTTTTATTAAAAAAGAAACGAAAATAAATTTAGATAATAACAAAAAATAAAATAAAATCAAAATAAATTTGGAGGACAAATAGAGTAAGTCTTTTTTTTTTTTTTCAAAAAAATCCTATTATATAGTAATTTGAATTTTACTAAAAATGCATTATTTTATTTTAAAAAAATACTAAATTTAAATATAATTTAAATTTAAATAAAAAATATATTTTTATTAAAAAATATAGATATTAAATAGTAAAAAATTATAGAAAAGAAATAAACTCGATATTTCCTTCGTTTCAATCCAAAAATGGTCACTTAGAGTTTTATAGTAGTTTAAGAAATAATAAACTTTATTAGTTAGTAGAATTGTGTAAAATAATTTTGGTATTCTTATCATTGTACTTTATGTATAAATTAATTATATGTGTAATATTATGTTTATAAGTTACATAAAAGTTAAAGGGAATTTTAACATCAGTGAGTGATTATAAAAAATGAATACTTTTGAATATGATAAAAAAAAAAATAATAATAAAAAAAATATTTTGAATTGAATCGGAATAACTATTTTTTTTTTCCTTAAGAATATTAAAAAAAAAAAAAAAAAACTTTTGGGCCTCGCCTTATTAACCAATGTCGTGTCCAAAGAATGATTTTGATTTTTTTAAAAAAGTATATTTTGGAATATAAATTTATTGAATAGTAAACTATTGGGCTTTTTATGTGCTTATTGGAGTGATTATGAATATTTGCAGGTGGAAGAGAAAATTCTAAGAGCACAACAAATACAGCTTCTCAATGAAGTTAACACAATACAGACTACTGTAGATTATTAGAAGCACACAAAAAATAACTACTTTTATTTATTTATTATAATTCCCGTCCGATTTCTATTGTCCTAAAATATATTTGCACGGTCTTTTAAGTGATTGTCTTTTTATTATGAATTGACAAATTTGTCCTTAATTCTATGGTAAAGGTGAAAAGCAATAAATGAATGAAGGGTAAAAATATAAAATTTGTATTTAAAAAAGAAAATAGGACAATAATTGTTGGACGTCTCAAATAAAAAAATAGGACATTAATTTGTGGACGGAGGGAGTATAAATTAGGACAGTTTTGAATTACTCTTATTGTTTCATCAAAGTATGAATTTTATAGTAAATTAAAAAATAATAAAATAGTATATTATTGATAGTAAAAATATGTAAGATAATATTGATATTTCTATCTTTGTATTTTATGTATAAATTAATTATATATATATATATAATTATATTTTTGTAGTTTATATAAAAATTAAAAATATTTTAATATTAGAAAGATAGCAGAAAGAGTAGAATCTATTTGTATGTGTTTGTTGTTGTCAGATATTATCCTTATTAGTATTATTTCTAAATTCAGATCACAAATAATATGTTCTTTTAACCAAATGACTTGTGAAGTAATTTGAATATAATTTTCTAAGAAAAAAAATATTATTTTCTTTGAGAAATTTATATGAATTGACTTGCACGAAAACTTCCTAATCCGAAAAATGTCTTATCGGGAGTGGACAAGAGAATTAAAAAATAATTATATTTAACTGAAAGTGGGTATAAAGTAGAAGGTAATCTAAAATACAATAAATTAATAATTAGGGATAATTTGAAAAAGTAAGAATAATTTTGTTATAAAATGGAGACCGCGATTACTAAATAATGAAACGGGACAATTGTTTTGGATTGACGAAAAAAAAAAAAAAGACAACTCTATTGGGACGGGGGAATACTAATTTTTAATATTATTAAAATACAATATGTAAAAATTAGAGATGATAATTTGGGATTTTTATTCGACACCGGAAAGGCCCGGCCCGGGCATGTGCCCATTTGAAATTGGGCTGGGCTGTTTTATTTTATTTTTTTTGGTTAAAAAATTAGTTCAAGAAAATACAATGGAAATTTAGGAATCAAACCTTATTGTAGTACTTATTAATAAATTTTTAAAAAATAAATTATTTAATATTAATCGGGTGCTGATGATTAAAAATTGATGATATATAACTATATTTAGAGTGCGTTTATTTTGTACGATAGAATTATACTATATATATTATTTTAGTCAATTGTATAATCATATAATAAAATAATTTATGAATGAATGTGTAGTCTAACGGCGAAGCACTAAACTACTGTACTATCCTTTAAGCCTCGACTTAGGATTATTGTATAAAATTATTAATTTTATTTAAAAGTATATTTTTTCTATTTTAATACAATAGTCTTGTTTACTATTTTTGTGTGTCTCAAAACAATAATTTTATTTTCATAAATAACTATATCACTATATAGCTATCTTTACTTTTTCATTATTAGTACACAATTGTCACTACATTTTACACTAATACACTTACTTTATGTCTTTTACATGTATTTTTTATCCACTATCAATATAATATCAATATTCTTTGAATGTTGTGTCCAACACAACCAAGACTATTGTTTGAGAATGGAGGGAGTATTAATTATATAATAAATTAATAGCATGGTATGTATTAATGGAAGATAAAAAATAATCTTGTAACATTAATAATATATTATTATTATTATTATTATTAGAGGGGATCAGTGTTGAATTGTTTAAATAATAATAATAATAATAATAACTAAAGTAAAAGTAAGAAAGTAATAAGTAAATAAATAGTGTGTTTGGCTGGAGAATTTTGTCCAAATTGTATTATTCATTTTTTTTTCAAAAAAATATTAATTTAAACACTTATTTCTTTTATATTATATTAGAAAAATAATATAAATTTAAAATATTATATCAACATTTATTAATATTATATAATATAATTATTCAAATTTAAAATTTTTACTATTTAAAATTCAATTATAAAATCTAATTCCTATAACCAAAACACTTGTTTTTATTAACAGAGCAAATTCGATTTGAATACAAATACTGCATATTTGATATTTGTTCGGTTCAATTTCAATTTTTGATATCTTTTTCGATTCGTTTAACTGAACCGAATATATTTATATTATTATATTTTAAAATTTATATTAATAATTATATTTTGTTCTATTTCGGTTTGAATATTTAAAATATCTGCAAATATTTTTTATTTAATTAGAATTTTAATTATTTTTAAATATATTTTTTCTTAATTTTGGTTTAGTTCGAGTTATTTGTAAATATTTTCGATTCGAATACAATTCGCGGTTTGAATATTTGTTTGATTCGATTTAGATATCAAATACCTGAATATTTGCAAATAACCGAAGTATGTCCACCCTGGTTATAATACTATATTTATTACTCCCTTCGTCTCATATATTTTGGGTGTGTTACCGTAGATACGATAATTTACCTAATTAAGAAATGTATTAGTAGAAATAATTATTATTTAATAAAAATAATTATATATTAAGATTAATATAAGTAAATAGTTTAATTAAGATTAAAAAATTTATAAAATTTAGAACTTAAAATGTGATTAAAGTATATAATTATATTTCTAAAAATTATATGAGATGAACGAAAATAGAAAATATGAACAAATTATATTGGGCAGGAGTAAAATTTATGCCTAATTTGTATAAAGATATATATATATTTATATTTAGTGATAATTGGATTTAAATCCCTTTGCACTAAAATAACTTGTGATTCAGTCCCTATTATAAATTTATCACACTGCAACCCTTATTTTTACATTTCAATTGCAAATTACTCCCCATTCTTTATTTTTTCTATTATTATTCTTGATTGTGTGAAAAGTCTTTTATATCCTCATCTCTTTCATTTACATATTTGTCATTTCTTCTGTGATTTGCTTCGCGCGAAATCCACTTCAACCCCAAAATCACTGGTTTTCTCATAGCCACAATATCACTTCAATCATAAAATGTATTGAAAGGAATCCCGGTGGTTATCATAGCAATCTAATCTAGCCTAGGAAAAATATTTAAATGAACCCACCAATCCTGAAGACAACGCATTGTCGATCTGTTAAATGTCGAAGAGACGACAACAAGCTGTCGGAGACGAACAATCCAGCGTTGATGGAGCCTAAAATTGTCCGCCTGAAGATGCGCAGAGTACCGCGGTAAACCGTTGGGCTGGACAATCTTCGTCATCGGTTGTCTTCGATATCATCAATTAAAATATATGCAATCGTAAAGGAAGTATTTTTCTATTTATTTATTATTTTTGTTTCTTGGTTTCCTATTTCTCAAATTTATATTGTGTTTGTCTTTTGTTCTATTTGTTTTATTTCAGTTTCAATGCAATTATATTTAGTTTAGGTTTTTGGATACACTTCCGCTACTTATGTATTTTTGTATTCTCATTCTTTTTTTTTTTTTTAAATTTTTTGACAAGGAATGATTTGTATTATGTATTTAACATGGAGTTTTGGTTTTTTCTTGTAAGGAAGAGGGGGGAAAATTGATAGTTTAACTGTTAGTTTCTTGAAATTTTCTTTTTAAAAAATATAAGTTCTAATGGAATACATTAACATGTAGCTACAAACCTTATTTGATGAAATTCCTTAGTAGATTGTGTCATTGATTTGCGGCTTGTTCGATTTGTTTGATGTATATAGAATTTGATGCTTTTATCTATGCCAATATAAGTTAGTCTTAAGTTAATTCGATTATGAGTTGGATAGATTTATACATATGGCTATTAATATTTGGCAAGAATAGCAAACAACCAGTACATGCGACTTGTTGCCCTGTTAATTTTTTATAACTGTCTAAGCTTAGAGTGGTCATCTTCATAATTTTTACATCGATTGAATTGGTTTAAAGTTCCCAAATTGATGATGTTAGAAGAAAATTAGATAAACTTTTGGTGAATTTGCATGAGAGATTTCAGTCATAGATAATTCTTCACTGGCATTAATTTGTTTCGAAAACTATTGAATTAAAATTTTGTTTCAACTGTGATTGTAATTGTTCATATTGATTTTCTTTATAAATTATAACTATATAGCACTCTCACCTTTGTTGCAGGTAAGGACTTTCTGAACAATATTCGTGTGAAGTTGGATCTTATTTTCCCGGCATGCTTGGCAATATCTGATGGTATTGCATTAGGTCGACTTGAGGGTTGTTGAAATTCATCTGCCAAAATCAGTGGATGCCTTTCCAGGAATTGTTTTCAACAATTCCAATGTTATTATGGTCTACTGTGCTTCTCTATGAAATATGTTTGTATGTGTTGGAGTTCACGTTTGTTTTTTGTGGTCATTTAACTATTATTTGTAAGTATATTGATATATTAAGGTGGTTACTATCGAGCAAATAGAGGAATGTACAATTATGACATACATATATAAAATTTAAATGGAAGTATATGAACAATGAACAAGAGTATATAGAATCATACAAGTTTTGACATATATAAATTTCATTGTTTTTTACATTATTATCGTAATTTTCAATCAATACACGATATATAGTTTTTGAGCTACGTAGATGACCTTATATGCCAATAGATTGGATCTCAAATTGAAGAATGAATAACCCATGCCAATAGATTATCCACCCAAAGATGTGATGACAAAGGAAAGACAATCACTTGTTACATTTAAATTGTGTAGGTGCATCTATACATAAATAAATTAGCCGAGTCATGCCTCATGCAAGTATGCTCATGACCGAATATTGTTGTGTGTGCTATGATGTGAATTACTATGTAATATGTCCAAATATTTTTAATTTGTGGTAGCAATCATGTAATCTAATAATCAACATAACTCAACTTAGTCATTTATGAATTGTTTAACCATCTACAAATGGAGGTTGAAACTATGATTATACATATATCATACAATTTAACTAACTTGTTTAGCCATATATACTAAATATGTGTTTTTTTACCTTTTCAAACAATTCAGGGTGTCGCGAAAATACTATCATGATGAATTCATCATTGGTTACCTATAGTAAACGAATACTTCAAACTGAAAATGGTCAGTTTCCCAAACACAAGTTATCAGGGTATATATACTCATTACTTAAGCATATGACACCAATATTATAAGTACGTAAGATTTGCGCCAAGGTATGTCGATATTTTATGCAGGTATGTAAGTATGTGCTCTATATATAAACACCAACATTCAAGGTATGAATGGTGGTTGTTTAGATATTATCCGTGTAGTAGCAGATATCCATAAATGTGGTTGATTTCATTCGATACTTTGACGGAGGGGCCACGTCACAAACTAAAATTTAATAGTAGATTACAACTTGTTGTTTCAAGTAAATACTACATTTGTCTTGCGTTACTTCGTCAATGTGAATTTAGATTGCATCAACTATTTATTAATTTCATAGCAACACGAATGTAGCTTAATAATGAAAAATATTTTAAACAAGTTCTTTATAACATTTATTGTGTATATATGATAATATTCCCCATTTTTATTTTTGTAAATGTGTGGTGTTTGTCATTTCATACTTTCCTGGAAGTTGCAAGAATTCTATCATGTTGAATTAATCATCAATTACCGTTTACAAGTGAGTATATGATACTCAATGTGATCGATTTTTTGAGTAGAGGTTACTAAGGTATAAGTACGTATTTTCGGAGTATTTGATATCATAATATAGGTACACAACAAATAAACAACGACATGTTGATAGTGTATGTAGTTACATAACTATGCGTACTGGGTATAAACACTGACAATAGAGGTATATATAATTGTTTCTAAGGTATTATGTGTCAAGTACTATGTATCTTTGAGTGTAATTGATTTCTCACAGAGGCAGTCAATTCTCTGAAAATGGAGGGTATAAAGGAACTCGATGAGAGCACACCCTTTTTTTTTTCCTCTATTATACTTTGTTGAAAAGTTCAAGCATTACTTATATATTCAATAAATCATGTCACACTTTCCATGAGATTGCCGTCGAAATTGTAAGACTATTAATACTTATCTTTTAAGTCCATTGTATCATCTAACTTAGCTTTAGGTATGGATAAAGTTAAACAATCAGAAAATATTAATTTACCACCTCAAAGCAGTGTGTGTCATTAAAATTTGGATTGTGGAACAATCATAAACGAACGCACGCTTCATGAGTACATTGACAATATGTATAAGCATATATATTTTATTTGGGGGTATTTTCATGCGTATTATGCCGGTATATATGTTTTTATTGAAAGTACATCGTGAGCATTCAGTTATATTTAATCGAATTTATAAAAACTCCAAGAACAATTCTAACTATTCACATGAGCATTAGGAAATAAAATAGGAGAACCACTGTAACCTACAGACAAATATGAACGACAATACTCAGTTTATTTCCTCCAATTCAATCCCAACAACCGAGACAGTTCCAAAAACTGGGATCATCAATTCCGCTTAAAAACGTTACATACAAATACAGATTACGAAATGAAGTCTACGCTTTAGATGGTGGACCTTTTAAAATTCAATCAGCAATTTTACCGTGATAAGTTTTCACATCATTGTAGTCGTTACCTAAGCCCCTTTAAAGATGAACAGTCAGTTTTGCATGAGCGTAACACTAGACAAACATTTAGACCAAAGGATCGTAATATAGCGTATTACTTTGATGGCGTCATCTTATGGATTCAAGATCATCTCTCACCATGAGCCAGAGATGAGCTGCGTTCAGGTATATGTAAGGTCATCTACGTAGCTCAACAAAAATATAAGAATAACATAAAGAAACACACCTTTTATGATTATATTGACAAACACGTATGAGCGTATACATTTTAATTAGGGGTATTTTCATGAATATTATGACGGTATATATACTCTTATTGGGAGTATATCGTGAGCAACCCATTATACTTTCGGCGAATTTATAAAAACTCTATGCATAACTCTAACTATTTGCAGAATTATTAAGAAATAACATCGGAGAACTACCATAACCTATAGACAGAAATAAACATGTACTCTATTTACTTCCTCCAATTTAATCCCAAAAACCTAGACAATTCCGAATAAAGTTACTAAGATCATCAATTCCACATATAAAATTTAAATATTGCAGTATTATTTACTCTAAAATATGCCAAAGTATAAAATCCAACTTTAATAATATAGGCATAAATTACCAAAATGGAAATGAACACACAACTATGAACAAACATACATATTGCAATATTCTATTGAATCCTGAAAATATTCTACTATTCGATTCGATATGCGATTTGTTTTGAATCTTAAAATGATATATGTATTCGATTCTAAATAATTTATAAATTACTCCAAATATTCAATTTGATTTCAATATTAAATATTTAATTTAAGATGTGATTCATTTTTGTCTTATCCGATTCGATTTAGATTTTTAAATTAAAAATATAACAATAATATTAAGACAACTTGATAATAAAATACAAAATTTTATATTGACACATAAAAGATTTTCGTACTTTAACATAAATATAAATATCATGATATAATTTTAATGATATTATTTATTTATTTATATAAAATTTTAAAATTATTATACTTAATAAATTTAGTTTTTAATACATATATGTATGCTACATTTTATACTATGTATGTATTTTTTTATTATTGAATTGAATATTTACGAATATGGAATCGAATAATAAAATTTTTATCTTTATTCCATTCATATTTGAATCAAATAAAATAAATCTATTCAAATTCGAATCATAAATTTGAATCAAATATCAAATCGAATAAAATTATTTGATTTATTTACAATCTTAGCACGAAAAAGAGGTATAATTTTCCGTCTTACTCTACAATAAAATGTGATTGTAATTGTAATTTTTGTTTTTTTATCTTTATTTTAATTATTTTAAAATACACAAACAAAAGTATACATAAGGTAAACAGAAGTATATCGGTGGAACAACTTAGGTAGAGCGAAATGTAGCATATGTAGAGTGGAGTATATTATAAGTATATAAAATAATTTTGAGAGTATTTGAATATATTTTAAAGGTACATCAAATATATACTAGGCTGACAAATGGAAAAATAAAAAATAGATACTGAAATTAAACCAATATTAAAAAGGAGGGAGTGCAGGTCAATTTTTTAGTAATAGAGACTGAATTTAAATCCAACACCACTGACAGGGACTGAAAATCAACTCTCCCTTATATTTATTTATTTATTTAAAATTTAAAGATATATGTGTAAATAGAGTGTATGATGAGGATTGAGGGGCTGGCGTGGGTATAGGGCACATGATGATTTTGTTACATTAATTCATGCCTATAATTATTACGGGGGTTGACTCTTTTCCGTAAATAAATAATAAAATATTTTATATCTACGTTGCTGCTTCGGGCATCCTAGGTTGTGTGCGTTTTGTTTATCGGGCTTTTATTTTGTATTTGAATTTGAATAATAGAAAATTGGATTGTAGATAAATTGAATTACTCTAAAAAAAAATGAAAAATAATTAGCATTTTATTTGATAAAATAGATAATTTAACTTGAAGAAATGTAATAAAAAAAATTAATTATCATTTATTCGTGTATATATATACACACAAATTTATAAGTTTATAATAATAATAAGACTACTATAAAATTCTACTCCCTCCGTTCTATTGTCCTAAAGTATATTTGCACGGTTTTTTTAGGTGATTGTCTTTTTGTTATGAATGGACAAATTTGTCCTTAAGTGTACGGTAGAGATTAAAAGTAATAAATAAATAAAAAGTAAAAATGTAAAATTTATACTTAAAAAAGAAAATAGGATAATAGTTGTTGAACATCCCAAATAAAAAAAATTAGAATATTAGTTTATGGAGAGAGAGAAGAGAGTATTATATACATTGTGAACCCTCAAATCCTGGGGAATAGTGTAATGACTGGCCACAGAGACAGACGAGAAGATTTGAGAAAAAAATAATAAATCTTTTTTCTATAAAATGAAATCTTTTGAAATAAATTATAATTTTTTTTCATAAATTCAATTAATAAGTTATTAATAATAAGTTATGATATTATTTTATATTTTTATATGAGTAATGTTGTTGGTATTTTAAATATTTTTAGCATTATAAATTAATAAAATATATACAATATGAATATTATTTTGTAGAGAATAAAATTTTATATAATATAAATAAATAAAAAATTAATTAATTTATTTATAATTAACTTAAAACTAATTTTATTAAAAATAAGAAGTTTTAAATACTTACTTATTGAGGAGAGACGTAGAAATAAAAGAGTATTGAGTAAGTCCTACGTGTAAGAGATTAGAAATTTAATTAAATTAATTTATATTTTTAAATATATTTAAGATGGATAAATTTACTAAAAATATAAATGGGTCATCTTAAAAAAAAAAAAAAAAAATCATCTGCGGCGGGATGAATAGAGTATCATTTTGTACCAACATAGCCATAAATTGATACATTAAACCAACCTCTTCTCTACAAAATTCTTGATCTTAAACACGCCCTAATCTAGGCAACAAAAAACAACACTTGACAACATTCCACAAATCAAATAGATACATTAAACCAACCCCTTTTCTATACCCACTCCACAATCTTAATCTCAAAAATTAAACCCTAAACCCAATCCAAATTTAAACAACAAGAAGAAACCCTCGGAAAAAAAAAAAAAAAAAAAAAAAAGCCCTAAAAAATATACATCAACAATGAATCCCATTCCCGGTTTCCGGCTTCTTAAAGTCCCACGAGTCATCGGGCACGCCCTCCCCACGGCACTTCCCCTTTGGCTTGGCCTCGTGTAGCATCGACACAACATCCCTCATGGATGGTCGATCGGCCGGATTTCGACTAGTACATAACAATGCAACCCTAAGGAGAAGCATCATTTCTTCCTTAGGCGAGCCACTCATAGAGACAAGATTTTCGTCTAATACATGGTCAATTGTTGTTGTTATTGTTGTCGTGGTTGTGTTAGGCTTGATTTTGGACCTCAACCAGTCTACTATATTGTTACCTTCCCCAAATTCAGAGTCCACGGATTTTTTTCCGGTCAAAATTTCCATTAACACCACTCCGAAACTGTATATGTCACTCTTTTCATCCACTTGAAGTGTATAAGCATATTCTGCAAAAAAAATAAATTAATTGATTACTTAAATTGAAAACAAAGTTGGAATTGAGTATTCAATAGTAATTGTATTTTTTTTTTTTACATAAGTTTAGCTTATGTTTTTTTTATAAACTTAAGTAAAGCTTGGGTCAATATATTTTATTTAAAATATTAAATATTTGAAATATTCAAAACAAACACTACAAAAAAATATCAATTTTGTAACTAGATTTTTTCGTTCTTAAATCCATTTTTTCCGTTACTAGTAATATTAGAGACGAAATTAGTGATAGAATTATGTTAGCTACGTGAACTTTATGAATGGAATTCCGCTACAAATATACTATTTTTTTGTAGTGAAAACAAGAAAGTTTATTAAAAAATGTATAATTTATTTAGACACAAGAAAAATTTATTGAAAAATGTATAATTTAAAATCACAAAAAAAAACAAACAAAAAATTTATTAAAAAATGAATAATTTAAATAATATTAATTTCAATTCAAGATTATTCAAAACTACAAAAGAATAAATCTCAAGTAGACGTCAATTTTCCTATACACAAAATCTCTTTTGCTATGTTTATTTTTGTAACAATTAATTAAAAAGTATATAATAATATAGTATGTGATTTAAATCATTTTAATAATAAGAACAATAGTAAAATATCTAATTTATATAAATAAATATTAAAATTGTGTTTGATGTATCAATAAAATTATTGATATAATATTTTAAAAAGACAATAATATTTTGTAAATATTAGTAAAAATAAATTAAAGAAAATTATATATAGCTTTACTCGGAGAAAATTATACAATCAAAACTTAATACAAAATTAATAATTAATACTAACATGTTAGGCAAGCTGGACAAATTCATATAATATTATATTAATTGGAAACTTAAATATAATATTCTCTTCGTATCAAAACAAAAGAATTTTTGGTATTTTGTAATAGATTAATAATAGTATTTTATTAGTTAATAAAGTGTGTAAAAAATTTTAATATTTTTTATCTTTCAGTTTAAGTGAAAATGAAGAGTATTTTAGTACTTTCTCCATTTTACATACCGTGTCTGCTACATTAATTTTAAGAGGATGTAATTAGTAGATAATTAAGAATGTATTAGTAAAAATAATTATTGTATAATATAAATAATTATAAATTAAGATTAACATAACTAATTATTTTAATTAAAATTTTAAAAAAAATAAAATTAAAAAGTTTAAAATGAGATTAAAGTTTATAATCATTTTTCAAAAAAGGAAAGTGATATGGTACGTGGGATGGACAGAAACGACAACGTGAACATGTTATGTGGAACAGAGAGAGTAATAAATGTTATTACTTTATTTAAAATATGATATTGATACTTTAAAATAAAATAAACGAAAATAATAAAAATATTATTTTCAATTAAGATTGACAGAGAGTATAATATAAAAATATTACTAAACTTAAATGATATAAATAAAATACTGTAATATATTTTAAAAAATGCATAATTTTGTAGGAGAAAGAAATACTCTCTTTGTGGTCTAATTTTATTTATTTTTTATTTTTTTTATTGTAGTCTAAACTTATTTTTATTTTTATTTTTATCCATTTTTTAAAAAAAATTTATGTCCGATCAAGACATAAAAGTATATAAATTGAATGAAAAAAAAAAAAGAAGTAATATTGATTAGTACGGAAAAGAAAAGCGTAGAGAGACGACATACCGGGTGCAATGTAGCCGTAGGATCCGGCGATGACGGACATTGATTCATTATACTGAAACAGCTTAGCCACGCCGAAATCCGCCACTCTCGCCTCCATCTGACCGTCCAATAAAATATTGGACGGCTTCAGATCGCGGTGCACGATCACTGGGTCACAGTCGTGGTGAAGATAGCACAGCCCCTGCGCCACTCCCATCGCTATCTTGTACCTCGCCGCCCAATCGCCGCCGCCCTTCCTCCGGCCGTGGAGGAGCTCCGCCAGGCTGCCGTTCTCCATGTACTCGTACAACAGCATCGTCCGCCGCCCGTTGCTGCACCACCCCAGCAGCCGGACGATATTCCGGTGCCGGACATTGCCCAGAACCTCCACCTCCGCCACCACGCCGCCGCGCCGCCTCCTCCCCGCCACCGCCTCGGCCGCCGCCTCCTTCTGCTGCCGCCAAAGCTTCTTCACCGCGATCACTTCCCCGCCGGGCATCTCTACCTTGTACACCGTCCCGGCCGACCCCATCCCTAGAATCTTCTCCCCGCCGCCGCCGCCGTCGTCGACGGCTTCCACCACATCCTCCGCCGTGAAATTCAGCCGTTGAAAAGCCGTCAGACTCCACGGCCCGCCGGAATCCTGGGTGCTCGACAATCCCCGGCCGTACGCCGCCGTCGCCTGGAAACACCTGCTCCCGGCGATAAGAATAAACAACCCGATCCCAATCGCCGCCGCCACTATCCACACAATCGCCCCGGCGGTCTTCTTCCGCCGGCGCCGGATTTCCGCCGGCGCGGCGGCGCCGTTCTCTTCCAAACAGGGCTTTTTAGTAGCTCCGCCGCACAGGCCGTCGTTTCCGGTGAACGACGACGGGTGGAGGCTCGAAAACAACAACCCTGACGACGGAAGAGGGCCCGTCAATCGATTATAAGAAACATTAAAATTTTCAAGCGTTGTGCAGTTATTAAAACTCGTGGGAATAGCTCCGGTCAGCACATTATGCGACAAATCGACGTCGGTAATCGACGGCAGCGTCGTAATTTCCCAGGGGATGATCCCCGACAGGGAATTCCTCCTTAAGTTCAACGAAATCAGCTTCTCACAATGGCCAATGTCCCAGGGAATGCTACCACTCAAATTATTCCGATCGAGCTCGATTCGATAAAAGTTTCGACACCCGACGAAATTGGGGATTCCACCGATCAGCCCTGCCGCGCTCGCCGCAAAAATTTGTAAACTCGGAGCCTTCCAGATATTTTCCGGCAGCCGGGAATCGAATCGATTCTCGGACACATTCAAGAACTCCAATTTTGCCGCATTTCCAATGTCATCGGGTATCAAACCCGTAAACATGTTCTTGCTTAACTCGAAGTAAGTGAGATTCGGCAGGCGGCCAAATCCCCGAGGAATCGAGCCGTTAAGGTGGTTGTCCTGAATCCGAAACCGGTAAAGCGACACGCAATTTGACAACGATGTAGGAATCTCGCCGACAAATTTGTTCGAAAACAGAATAAGTTTGATCAATCTGTCGCCGAGGCAGAGGTTCCGGGGGATCGGACCGGACAGCGAATTCGACGAGACGTCGAGCTTTTGCAGCCTGGAATTGGATCCCAATCCCTGAGGCAAGAAACCCGACAAGGAATTGTTCCACAAAGACAGGGATTCTAAATCAGGTAGATCCCCGATTCCCCGTGGAATTTCCCCTGTCAGATTGTTGTTCATCAAATTCAATGTAATGAGCCGTTTCATGTCTGAAAAACTGGCCGGAATCTCGCCGGAAAGTTTGTTATTCGACAAGTCGAGAATCCGCAGCGCTTCCATTTCAGACCACCTCGCCGGAATCGATCCCGAGAGGGAATTCTCGTACAGCAGCAATGTCTCCATCTTCCTTAGCCTGCCAAACTCTCCCGGAAGATTTCCCGACAGCTTCGCCGACGAGATGTCAAGGTAGACCAAATTCGACACGTTCGAAAGCTCCGCCGGAAGTCCTCCGGCGAAGGCATTGTACCCCAATTCCATATGCTCGAGATTTTTCAGGGCGCCGAGATTCCCCGGAATATTCCCCGACAGGGAATTCCCCTGCAAGAACAAATACCTGAGCTTCGAGAAGCTTCCATAGCTCGCCGGAATTTCTCCCCGGAAATAACTCCCGCCGAGGTTGAGATACTCGAGATTCCTCAGGCCGACAGCCTCGTCCGGCAACGGTCCGGTGAAGCAATTGCTGTAAGCATTCAGAAACGTGAGGGATTCGAGGGCCGACAGGCCAGCCGGAAAGCTCGAATTGAAGCAGTTATGGTTGACGTCGATCGTACGGAGACGCCGGAGATGGAACACGGCGGCCGGAAAACGGCCGGCGAGGTAGTTATTGCTCAAATTGAGGCGGCGCAAATGGGAGAGGTATTTAATGTCGTCCGGTAAGGTTCCCGACAGGTTTCGTCCCGACAGGTCCAACGTGGTGACGTGGCGGGTCCGGCGGTCGCAGCCGACGCCGGACCAGCGGCACCAGGCCGGGTTCGGGCCGGGCCGGGAGAAGGCGGTTGTAGGGTCCCAGTCTTTGAATGAGTTGAGAGGGTCTTTGAGGGAGGATTTTATGGCGAGAAGGGGGAGGATTTGGAGGGGCGGCGCCGCCTCCTCCGCCGCCGCCGGCGGTGGTGGTGTGATGAGGATCAAGAATTGTATGGGGAGGAGAAGGGAGAAAAGGGTCATGTTTTTGAGGGGCTATTGTGGTGGTGGAATGGAGTGGAAATATAGAGTGAGAAAGTTGAGTTTAGTGTGAGAGAGAGTGAGTGAGTGATATAAGGTGGGGATGGAAGAAAAGGTTTGTAGGTTTGTTTTTTTCAGGCCTCATGGGAGGGAACACACCAAAATATAATACTATGAACAAAATTTAAAATACAATGTAGTATTTGTTTTCACTTGTGTTCTTTCTTTAAAAAAAAATAAAAAATAAAAATAAAGTAGTATATAGAATGTAATAGGAGTATTTTGTAAATATTTTTATGAAAATTATAAAAACTGCATAAAAAGTTTTATATAAATAACCAAAGCCTAATACTTCATTCAGTCCGGACTAATATAATCCTTTGAATTTTTGTATTAGATTAATAAATAATATTATTTTATTAGTAAATAAAAATGTGTAAAATAGTTTTAACATTCATGTAATATGTATTTTATCTAATAGTATATTTATTATTTATATAAAAGTTAAAAATATTTTAAGCATTAATATATAATTATTTTTATATTAATTATTTTTATTTCGACATAAATGAAAACTTAAATATGGTACAAATAAAATAATAAAAAAAATATAGTTTTAGTTTAAATTAAGAAAATATTTTTTTAATAATCCATAAATTTGAAAGAATTTCATATGATTGATAAAACTATCAACATGCACAACGTACATTCCTGATTTGTTTTTTTCTAGCCATTCTAATGGAGTAATATTGTAATGTACTCCCTCCGTCCTAATACAATAATTATATTTATTATTTTTGTTCGTCTCAAAACAATAATTTTATTTTCACAAATAATTATATCATTATAAAACTATCTTTATTTTTTCATTATTATTACACAATTACCACTACTTTTTATACTAATACACTCACAAAGGCAAAAAAATCTTTTACCTATGTTTTTTACCCACTAGTATCAATATTCCTTAAATCTCGTGGCGAACACAACTCAGACTATAGTTGTGGAACGGAGGGAGTATAAATTAAGGATAAATGATCTAATGAAAAATTTTAGTATATATACTTACTTTAAAGTAATTAATCTTCAATTCAATAGCATAAAGTCAAAACATCATAAATTAACTTTTAGATAATGTTTAGATTCAAGTAAGGGCTCAAACCCAAGATTTCTTATCTCAATAATTAGGGTTTTCTTTAGAAAGGTTTTGAAGTTTCTAAGAATTTTTTAAATAATAAAAAATTGGATGCATTTAATATAATATTTCAAAGAACAAAAAAATAAGTATCCAATATAATATTTATTTTTTAAAAAATAATATCAATGAATAGTATCACAATTTACAGAAAAATATGTATATATGTATATGTAAATATAGTCTAGAGTTTCTTCCACTTAAATCCAACTTACATAGCACCAAAATGAGTTTAAATCGTCTGGCAATGGATGATTTGGTGGAGTAGATTCGTAACCATAAAATCATAAGCTCAAATTTTCAATATTTTTGAATTTTGTTTGTCACGCATGATTTGTTTAAGGGTGTGTTTGTTTGAAAGTTTGGATTTTGGATTGAGTTTGGAATAGTAAAAATTTTGAATTTGAATAATTATATGATGTAAATAAAAATTGATGTAATTTTTTAATGTAAAATTAATTTTTAGTATACTATAAAAATAAAAAATAAAAAATCAGTATTTGATTTGATATTTTTTAAAAAAGAATTTTGCATGTAGAAATTCCACAAAATCCTTTAAACAAATACACCCTTAATGTGACCTGTTTTGTCACATCTAATTTGTGTACTATTAAGTTCAATTAGGAGTTTATGCAATTGAAGATTAGAGATTACTCTATAGTTGATCCAATGCACACTTACGGTGTGTTTGTTTGGGGGATTGGATTTTCAATCCATTGTTCATTCTATTTATTTTTTTCAAAATATCAAATCAAACATTTTTTTTTATATTATACTAAAAAATTAATTTTACATTCAAAACATCACATCAACATCTATTTATATCACATCGTACAACTATTTAAATTTAAAATTTTTACTATTCAAATTCCAATTCAAAATCCAAACCCCGAACAAACACACCCTTAAAGAATAGCTCTTGTAATTCCTAGTCCTAAAACAATATTGAAGTCCATTTTTGTTCAAAATTTTGAATCTTTTGTTCTTGCAATTTATTTTTTCACATTGCAATGCCAAGAATGTTTGTGCCTCTTTTGCTTTGTTGTTTCTCTTTCTATCCCAAACTCTTTCTCTCTCACTCAAACTCTTTTTTGTTGCCTCACTATTCACTAATACTTTTGGATTTCTTGAATTTCTTTTTTCTCTTTCTCTTTTGTTTTCCCCCTCCATACTTTTCATCATTCCTTGTTTGCTTTTATTTTTGGCCCATCAGCAATTTGGTAAGTAGATCTTTGGGACTCCCGGGTTCCCAACTCCAGGGTGGATGATACTTGCTGTCAATGGTGTGGATGGATCTGGAGCTGAGATCCCAGGAGCGCTCAAGAACCAATTGATTATGATGGATTGGACACAATAAGGCATGTTTGGTGCAGGATCCAAGAAAGTGGTTACAAATTCCCACCAATTTTATTTTTTCATTACATCCCTAAACTTTTTTTTTTTTTTTTTTTTTTTTCTAAATCAATTTTATTTATAATGTATATGTATTTTTATTAAAATACAACATTATGATGTTTTCATCTCGGTAGTTACGAAAATTTAGAATAAATATAATTAATAGATAATTAATAATATATTAGTGAAAATAATTAATTTATAATATAAATCATTATAAATTAAGATTAAGATAACTAATTAGTTTAATTAAAATTTAAAAAAATTAAAATAAAATTAAGATGGGTAATTATTTTCCAAAAAAAAAAAGTAACATGAGATGTGGAACGGATAAAAACGGCAATATGGACATGGTAAGTGGGACGGATGGAGTATAAATTAAGCCATGTCTATAATATGTATTAATTTGTTTTCGTATTAATCAATATAATGAATATTCCTATAATTTGGTTTTATTATTTCTGTAGTTTGATTTCAGTATTTTTATTGTATAATTATGTGATTTTTTACAAAAAAAAAATATATTATTGTATTTCATAAATACTGTTATATTTAAAATATTATTCCAATAAAAGAAAATTTAAATTAAAAAATAACACAATCAAAGTTTAAATATGACATAAATGAGTATTAATGTATATATAAAGATAAGCTATAATAAATATTTTATGTTTTTTTTTTTTTATCGGAATAAATATTTTTAGTGTGTTTCTTTGGGTTTGATTTTTGAAAATTTTGATTTGAATTTGATATTAAAATAATACTCCCTTCGTTTCAAACAAGGTGCAACATTTGTTTTGGGCACGAGTTTTTAGGTGGGTAGTATTAAGTATAATAATTTAGAAATTAAGTGATGTGATGGAGAGAAAAATGTATATATATATTTTTTATTTGGGTGATGGGATGCGATAAAGTGTGGGGTAGAGATTAAGTATAATTAATTATTTTTTATTTTGGAAATGTTGCAGGGTGTTTGGGACATACCAAAAAGGAAATGTTGTATGGTGTTTGAGACGGAGAGAGTATTTTATAAGATATTTTATGAATATATATATTTCTAATAATACAAATTCCAAATAATAAAAAAAAAAATTGATAAAGAAACACACCAAAACTGTATTAAAGGGTAATGTAAGTGTGTTTTGCCATTAATTTCATTATAATAATTATATTATTCAAATAATAATATTTGTTCATTGATAAACTTTAGTTTTTTTTTTTTTTTTTTTTTTTCCATTTTAAGTTAAGGTTTATTTGATTTTGGTTTGAGATTAAAGTTTTAATTTAAATTTTGATTTAAAGAGATTTTGATATTATACATTTTGTGAAAAAAAAAATTAATATATTTTTATTAAAATTATATAAATTGAACCGTGATAATTTTATTTTCAAATAAAAAGTATACACGCCCGTGAATATTCTAAGGACGATAAGCTAATTAGTTGTTTGAATGAAATATTGTTTTGTTAATATTTACTATTATATTATAACATAATACAAATCAAAGAAAAAAAGATAAAAATACTTCTATTAGTATTTGTATAAAAAATATATAAATATAAGAATATTTTTAATGTTAAGTATAATGATGCAAAAACTAAATGTAACTCTTTCAGTCGGACGGAGAGAATATATTTATACTTCACGAAAATATATTTAATATGTATAATATTTTTTATAAAATAAAACATAATATAGAAAAAAAAAACTATACATTTATATGATTAACATAATTAACTTTTGTTCTTTATCTATTTTTTTCTTCACACGTTTTCTTAAAAAAATTAATACACTACACACATTAATTATTTTTATATTTCATACACAATTTCTTGTACCTCACATAAAAAAATTTTCTTTCCAATAATCTCACAAAACAAACACACTTATTTTTCAATAATACAATTTTATTTTTCTCAAACAAAATAATAAAATTATCTTATCCAAATAATATTTGTACTTTCTAAAAATACTTTCATAAATTTTCACTAAATTGATAATAAAAATTTCAAAAATTTTAAAACACTAAAAGAGCACAATTAGAGATTTTTGAATGTATGTGACTATATTTATTTAAAAGAAAATTTGCATATTATAAACTAGTCTTTTTAATCTTGATTTTATTTAAGAGAAAAAATTATATATATATATATATATTATATCAAATCATATGGTTGCATGGTATTAAAAAAATGAAAACCGACTATTTAATTAAAACAAAGCATAAAATTTTATAAAATAGCTAAGATCATAAAAATTATTGAGAGTATAACACAAATCCAAACTAAAAAAATAACCAATAAACCCTTAATCAAATCTAACTTAATAAACTTAATAAATAATACTCCCTTTTTTAAGTGTGTTTGTTTACTAATTTAGTTTGTGTGTTTGTTTGTGGGTTTGGATTTTGGATTGGAATTTGAATACTAAAAATTTTAAATTTGAATAGTTATATGATGTGATATAAATAGGTGTTGATGTGATATTTTGAATGTAAAATTGATTTTTAGTATAAT